AACAATAAATTAATTGCACTATCATTGTCTTTTAGCTTTACTATAGTACATATTAATTTTTTAAGAAAAGAAATCCATTAAAATTTCAAAAAACACACATATAATTAATAATAATATATCATATCAAAAAATAATTTTGGATAATATATCAACACCTGTCAAAGAAATCATATAATAATATTTATTTATATATTTATTTATTTAATATTTATTTATTATAAATTATCTAACAAACTAAAAAAAAAAAAACGTATGTAATATATCAATATTTTCTATTTATTTTATTTATTCATTCCCACCATTGTTATCTAATCATATAAAAAAGTAATAATTTCATATTTTTATAAAAAAAACTCTTCGTTCGAAAAGAAAAAACAAAACAACACATTCATACCTTACACCACCTTAATCATTATAATTTTTTTTATTTTATTTTTTTTTTTCACGTGTTTGATTGAGTCAAAATCAGATATATTAATCAGTATACACAATATATAACCATAATTATAACAACACCACGCAAAAAAAAATTAACTGTGTCCTTCTTTCCTACTATATTTTAATCCTCGTTTTTTTTGTGCTCATTTCAAAAAATTGTTTTATTTTAAAAAAAAAATAACCAGCATACAGCAATAGTCTTCCATATCATCTCACATAAATCGTTTTTTTTTTTTTGCCACATATAACATTATTTTTAATTTTTTTTTAAATTAAAATTTTTTTATTTTTTTTAAAAATTTTAAAATTTTTTTTCTGTGGAGAAAAAAAAAAAAAAAATCTTTTGATTTTTTAAAAAACAAGTAAAAAAAAAAAAAAAAAAAGAAAATTATCTGTTTTTCATTTTTGGCTTTTAATCTCTTTTTAATATTTTTTAATTGTTGTATATTAAATAAATAATCAAACGCACCTAAATATTTCGGAATAGAAAAAAAAAAACCAAAAAATTTTATAAAATTTAAAAATTATATTAATTTTACAAAAAATCCTAATTTTCTTTTTTTTCATTACCCTATGAATAACAATAATAATAGTCATACTCAGAATCAACAAAGTATTATACCCAACAATACTAGTACAACAACTAATATACCTCAACAACCAACAAAAATGCCACAAACTGCTACAATTGGTTTTGAACAACTTTCAAAATATTTTCATCTTCCAATAAATGATGTTGCAAAAGAGCTTGGTATTTGCGCCACCATGCTAAAGAAGATTTGCAGAAGAAATGGTATTCCAAGATGGCCACACAGAAAGGTTAGTATTACTATTTTTTTTTTAAAGGAGTTCACCAATATATTAATATTCTTTTTGTTTTTAAATTTATAGATTAAAAGTTTAAATAAAATGATTGAAAATTTAGAACAATCATTACAAAATAATCCATCTGAGGCAGAGGAATGTATTAAACAAGAAATTTCAATTTTAAAGAGTAAAAAGGTATTAATTATGAAGAACCCAAGTATATTAGCAAGCAGCGCACAAAAAAGAACAGCAATTATGGGTGAAACTTCAGACACACCAAAGGTTAAAAAAGTGCAAACAAAAACTGAATCAAATACCCAAAATAATAATAATAATAATAATAATAATGGTAGCAATAATATAAATAATAATCAAAATAATATAAATAATCAAAATAGCGGTGGTCATAATATGAATAATCTAAATAACAGTAATAATAGTAATAATATAGGTACAATGTCAATATTGGATCATCAACAACAACATCATCATCAGCAACAACAACAACAACAACAACAACAACAGCAACAACAACATCATCATAGTTCATCACCATTATCTACACCATCATCATCAATTTCAACCCCACCACCACAACAAGAACAACACTCAATTATTAAAAATAATATAGGTTACCAACCTCAACCACAACCTCCAATGCAAGGCTATCATAATCATCATCCACAACACCAAATGCAACAAATTCAACAAAACCATAACCCAATGCAACAACCAAATCAACCATTTTCAATTAACCAATTATTAACACCAAATAATCCATTTGCAATCAACCCTTTAACATCTTATTTGGAGGAAGAAGAGGGACTCCCACAAGAGCAATCATATGTTAGCCCACATAGTATTTATCAATCGCAAAGTATGCCAAACCAACCACCACAACAACATCAACAACCACCACAAAGTATGTCAAATCAACAACCAAAATATGAAAGTGATATGCAAGCAACAGGATGGTATAGTCCACCACCACCACAACAACAACAACAACAACAATCACCAATGAGTAGTAATATGCAATATATTCAATCTTCAAACAATCCAATGTTTTCTCAAGTGTTGGGTTCACCAGATTTTGGCTTCACTTTACCAAAGATAAATGTACATGATAATCAAAATATGGCTCAACAAATGATGTCAAACCAACCACAATATATGACTCAAATGCCACCACAATATCAACAACCACCCCAACACCAACAACAACAAATGCATCAACAACATCATCAACATCATCAACAAATGCAACAACCACAACAATACCAACATCATCAACACCCACACCACCAACAACAACAACAACAACAACAACAGCAACCACAACAACCACAACATCACCAACAAGCTCCACAACACCAACAATCGATGCATCACCAACATATGTCTCAAATACAACCAAATAAAATGATGTATGGAATCCCAAAAGGCCAATATATGCAACAACCAACCCAACCAATTATGACATCACCTCCAAATCCTTTAAGATGGGTCAAAGAAAAATTCAATAGTAACCAATAGTCATATAATTTTTTCAGATATATTTCGTTTCTCTTTTTTTTTTATTATATTTTTAAACAAGCAAAATAACATCAACACGTACATAAATATTTTTCATTATATAAAATAGTATAGTTTTTTTTTTTTTTTTTATCTGTATTTCCTCTTCAAACAATAGTTCATAATCACATTATAGTAATTAGTATATTTAATTTATCCTGTATAATTCGTAAATAATCAAAACCCCAACAAAGTAATAATACACTTTAATTTCATTCAAGACCCTTTTCAAATTTTGTAAATATTAATATGAAAAAAAAAACCAAAAAAAAAAAATCAAACAAGAAAGAAAATTCAAATTTTAAAGAGGATTCAGCAAGTTAACTCAGTTTTCGATAGTTTGAATAAAAATTATCCTTGTTCAAATAAGCAAATCAAATAATAATAAAAAAAAAAATTAATAATAATAATTTCTTTTTTTTTTCAAATTATCTTTTTTAATTTTAAAATAAAAATAAAATAAAATAAAATAATTATTTATTTAATACACAAAACTTTTGGTTTGATCAACAAATATTATTTTTCTTTTTATTGGGGATATACACAAATTAATTTATTTCAAATTTTCAAAACCATTGTGACAAAAAGTGGATATTATAATTTTTTTTACCTCCTCTAATTAGTTTCTCATTAAATAAAATAATATTAAATAAAAGAAAATAAAAATTTAAAACTATTTTTAAAAAATAATATTTTTGTAAAAAAAAAGATGATAAAAATAGTTTAAAAAAAAAATAAAAAATTTAAAAAAAAAACAAGATTATAAAGAGATTTGGTTTTTTTGGTGCATTACAGAATAGTTATTTGATCCTAATTCAAAAAAAAAATAAAAAAAAAAAAATAGAAAATAAAATAGTTGTATTAACCTATTTTTGAAAAATAAGAAAAAATAATCAAAAATAAAAAAGTTTTATAATTTGTTATTTAAAAAAAAGAATTTAATTATTTCTGAATCACAAAAAAACACACACACACACACATACGCTAACACACAAACACCTCAAAACTCTTTATCATAATTTAATTATTTTTTTTTTTTTTATCATTTTTATTTTAAAATATTTTTTAATATTTTTTTATTAAAAAAATCACCATCACACAAAATATAGTTGTAGTATAATAAAGAAATAAAATATATTTAAAATAGATTTAAAATATTGTAAATTTATTTTCAAAATATAATAAAATATATATATAATATCACAAAATTCTTTTTTTTTTTATTTTTTTTTTTTTTTTTATTTCAATCTTTTTTTTTTATTTTCAAGAAACAATATTTTTATTTTCATTATATAACAAAAATTTAAATATATTAATAGTTTAATATTTTAATAAAAATCAAAAAAAAAAAAAAAAAAAAAAAAAAAAAAAAAAAAAAAAAAAAAAAAATTTTTATTTTGGTTTTTTAATTTAAAAAAATTAAAAAAAATAAAATTTAACCAAAAAGGGTTGGGGGAAATTTTAAATTTTTTCCCTTAAAATTTCCAAAAAAAAATCCAAAAATTTTGTATAGTAGATACCAGTTATGTTTACAATCAAACAACACCCTCATCTTATTTCCAAAATGATAATGAAATTGAAGATAATCAATGTATAGAATTTAAAACAAATGATTGCTATAATAATACAGTCGAACTTTTACAATTATCATTCGTATGCAAATATTGGGCAACAACAGTAATTCCTAATGTAGAATTACCATTCACAATAAATAATAAAAAAGACTACCAATGGTTTTTAAAGTGGTATCAATTCGGAATACTCGAGAACAATTCAAAAAAGTGGTATCAGAAATTAAAGAAAAAGAAACCAAAGTATCCGGCCATAAAGTTTGATATGTCACAAGTTTATTTAAATTTTACTCTGGCACCAGATCTAGTGGTGCCAAAAGAAATACAAAACATATTTTTAAATGGAATATCCAATCAATCACCACTTTCAAGCTCCTCAAATAGTGTATCAAGTAAGGAGGGTAACAATATCCAACAGTTATTATTGTCATCATCCACAAATTTAGATTCGGGTAGTGATAATGGAGACTATGATTATAATGCACTAAATTTAATAAATTGTACAAATATAAATAAACCAAATGATAGTAATATGGTCACCAATACAAATAATAATCCTTCAATAGTTACTACATGCGCCAATAATGGTTTTTCAAATAGTAATAATGCAAGTAGTGTTGGTTTTTTATTAACTCCATTACCTGGGTCGATGATTCATTCAATTAGTACAGGAAATATAGTTGGTTCATCGGGTTCAGTTTCCCCATCATTATCACCAAAGCTCTCAAATAATCATAAGCATAATAAACCAAGTACTGATAATATCTATGGTAGTTTACAAAATCATACACAAATTCAAAGACTTAAGGTAAAAGTTTCATCAATCAGGGCAAAGGAAACAGATATTTTAATGGATTTAATGAACAAAAACTCAAAAATGAAATATTTAGAAATTGATAGATCAGAATTATCAAGTTATAATACCAATGGTGATATAAGAAATTTCGATATTGCCCTATATGAAACTATTTCAAATTTCCCATGGAAGCTTCATGAGGTTAAAATTCAAATGACCTTAAGTGGTACACCAATATACCATTTGGCAGCATTAACAAATATTAAAAAACTTTATATAGAGTTTATCCCATCTCCAATTGGAGAAGGGCGTTGTGATTGGAACAACTTCGAATCACTATTAAAAAATGCGCCAGAGATAGAAACTTTATCAATCAAAGACTGCAACCGTGTACCTTTTAATCATATTTTTACAGTTATGCAAAATAATAGATCATTAACAGAGTTGGATATTTCAGAAAATATATCATCTTCATCAATATTAACTAGCAGTTCTGCAAATCTTTTAAATTTATTAAATACTGGTCAGTTATTAAATAATCCAAGTGGCTTTAACCACCCAAATCATAATCATTCAAACCATACACAAAGCAATAATAGTCATCATAATCACAATCACAATAGTGGTCACACCACACATAACTCAGCAACTATTAATAGGGTTTTGGCAAGTCATATTGATGAGTTTCCATATTTAACATTAAAAGAGTTTTTAAGCAAAAATAATTACATTCAATCATTGTCATTAAGTTATACTGGTATAGCATCACCATTGCTATTAAATTCAAATTCCACCGAGTTTCAGTTATCATCAACCTCATTACAGAAACTAAAACTTTTCAAATTAAATGATAAGGATAAATTAAATATTTCATTCAATATTCCATCATTGAAAGAACTTGTATTATTACCATATAGAAACAGAGGGCTAATTTTATTTTTAAAAGGTGCAAAAAAAATAGATCGTTTAACACTTTATAAACAGGATAGCAAACCAACCAAATCATGTTTCGAAATGGATGAATTATTTAAAAATATTATGAACAACTCTCATCTCAAAGCCTTTTACAACCACTTTTATTTACCTCAAACTAATGCAATCGATTTAATTAAGAAAAACCACCCATCAATTACCAATTTTGTTCATTGTTATGAAAATATCAAATATATGGACAATGATTTAATCCAAGCCATTTGTATCAACACCAAAATAGAATCATTAACTTTAATGTTTAACAGTTCTCCAAATACACTAGGATTAGAAGGTGAACCACAAAGTAAATTATGTATAATAATGATCATATTCAAACTATTAACAGCAGTTCTTATGCGTAACCAAACACTAAAATCATTAAAAATAATAGATGTTTCAAAAGAGATAAAAGAGTATTTAATTTCGTGCTCAACTGGGTATGGTTGTCCTCATTTTGGTTTCTGTAAACTAAAAGAGCAAAAGTTATCCCAATGCTTTAGACAAACAAACATTATTCAATTTCAATTCCCATTCTATATGAAAAAATATTTAGAAAAGTATTTAATCCATAAAAAACTATATTCATTTATTTTAAAAGAGAATGAATTATCATCATTTTAATTAAATAAAAAAATATGTAAAATACTAAATAGGCTTTTTTTAAATTTATTTATATTTTTATTATTAGAAATATTTTTATTATCCAAAAAAAAAAAAAAAAATTTTTCTTATTTTTTCACAGCTTTCAATATTCATTATATTTCTAGTACTTTCTGATGTATTTCAATTATGTCAAAAAGAAAAATTTATTGTGACAATTAAATATTACAACAATTAATACAAATTATTATCAAAATTTATGTATTAAAATTGTTTCAAGAACGCGGTATCACAATTTTAAATCCAAATGATTTCCATCCTAGCGACAAGACAACCGATATCCTTGACCCAGTAAAAAGACAACCGATATGCTTCCATCGATCATTTGTGATATTAAAACTAGTATTGGAGATAATGAACCAATCGATCCAAATCAAAGAAACCAACTCGAAGAACAAATTGTAAAAATTGAAAACATCATTACATATTTAACCAATCTACGTATTATTTATCGTATTTCAACCGCACCAGTATTGGAAGATATGAAGCAATCATTGGAACAATTTGGTAAATCCATTGATTACTTTGTAGTCTTTATAGCATTCCAGAACCAACCAAGGCTTCTTGAAGCATCTCAAAACCAACAAAGAAACCATTACATACTTGTTCAACCTCTCCAAAAGAATTGATGTCCATTGACCAGTATTGCATACCTCAGCACCAATCCAGTTGAATTGTTGTTTAGTATGGTTCGTTCCAAAGTACATTACCCTTCTTACTATGAATTTTGCATTTATGAAAAATCGGCATACAAAGAGTTGATTAAATCAAAGATTGTCCAGAACAACTATTATGAAGCTTCAATAAAAAAGTATATGAATGTTATGTATTCTTCAAACAAAACTTGATGGAAATGTAATACCTGAAAGTGTTAAATCCATCATTTCCCTTTACTGATTCAATCAGTGCAGATGAAAGAAGAAAGGTGATAACCTTAACATTTTATTTGAAAAGAATACTTTCCATTAGAGAGCTTTCATGTTTTGGTGAAACAGCGCATCTTATGACTCTCACGTATCTTAGCCAAATTCTATCTAAAGAAGATGTTCAAAAGTATAATCAAGCTTCGCTCACAATGAAAAGTATGATAGAGGCAGAGTTGCTTTTCATTTAACAAAATCAACTAAAGCTTTAGAAACATCATTCCAAAAAACCATAAGCAGAATTAAATTTTTCGATTCTGTTAACATCTTCAAATCAATTAAATTAGTGTTACCAATAGTTTCAGATAAAAAAAAGAAATCATATTCTTAGCAACTTTTTTAAAATCAACACTGATCATATCAATCGTCATATTTACTTTTTATGAAAAAAGAACAAAAGAATTTCAAATAAAAATTATAAACATCAAAGCAATTTTTTAAAATTCCAAAACAATTGTTTTGAAACAAATAGTACTATAAATAACAAAAATTTTTTTTATTACAAATTTGTGCAAACTTGACCAGCTTTTACAATATTATAAATTAGTTTTTAAACATCATAAATATAATATATATTTATTTTGCTTGTTTATTTATATAAATACCGGGTTTGAGGAGTCTAACGATTTTGGTGTAATATCTATTGATTTGTTATTATATAAAAATATTTTTAATTGATTATCAGTTTCTACCTCTTGCCATCTTTCAAATGGGTATACTATAGTTGCAATTCTTATATCTCTATGATCTTGAATGAAACCTTTTTCACGAACAAGTTTTTTAATCTTTGGTTCTATTGCTTTTAAAGCTCTTGGAATTAAATAGCATGTTAATATGGTTGGGTATACTAAAGGTGTGCTGGTATCTGTTGTTGAGAAAAAATTGGAATCGATTGTAGTTAATTTAAAGTCAAATGAATCATTTGCCATATCCTGAACTTTAAAAACAACCAAATGGTCAACGCCTTCTTTAATTGCATTCTCTTTTGCTAGTTTTATTAAATCCGGGTTTATATCTAATCCAATCGATCTAATTCCAAAATGTTTTGCTGCATAAATTACAATTCTTCCATCGCCACATCCCATGTCTAAAATTATATCATCTTTAGTAGTTGAAGAAATTTCTAACATTCTTTTAATTGAAATTTCTGATGTTGTTGCAAAAGGACACTATAAATTTAATAAAAATTAGAGAAATATTATTATTATTATTATTATTATTATTATTATTATAATATATTATTAATTAAAAATCATATATATTAATTTATTATGAATAAATAGAAATATAAATAAAAGAATTGCTAGAGATTATGATTTTATATATAAATTTTTTTAAAATATTCTATATTATAGTATATATACTTGTTTATACATACTATTTGGTTTGGTAAAGGATCTTCTACATCTAAAAATGGCTGAGCCCATTCTTCATCAGATGATTCACATTGCATAGTAAATAATTAACAAAACAAAATAATTAAATTATTCTATTCTATTTTATCACTATTTATATGTAATCATACAACGAAAATAAAAATTTTTATAAAAAAAAAAATCAAATTTTTAAATTTTTTTTATTTTTTTTTTTTAAATATTATTATTTTTATTAAGTGTTACACATTATCTAAATAGTTTTTTTATTTTTCTTATTAAAGAATTCTTTTTTTTTTTTAAAAAAAAAACACCCATTTATACACACATATACACACATATTCTCAGATTTATATTTATAATTGTGTAAAAAAACAAAGAAAAAAAAAAATGAAAATTATTATTAATCTTTTATTTATAAGTAAACCACACCCACTTACCCACATACACAATTATTATAAAAAATAGTTTTTAATTCTCTTTTAAAAATATTATTTTTATTTTTTTTTATTTGTTTATTTTTTTTTTTTATTTGTTTATTTTTTGTTTTTATTTAATTAAAAAATTTTATATTTAATTTTAATTAACAATTATAAATTTTTCAGCACTACATCATAAATTGGAAAAAAAATAAAAAAAAAACCCAACAATAAATTATAACTAAATAATAATTTTATTTGTTTATTTATTACCCCCACTATTTAGTTATTGTTTAAATTAAAATCTTAATTATAAAAATAAAATTTAACCTCACTTGTAAAAGAGGATAAGGTTTTTTTTTTTTTTTTTTTTTTTTTTTTTTTTGTTTAATTTTTTTATTTTAAATAAATTAATTATATAAAATGAAAATAATATTAAGTTTATTTTTATTAATATTTTTAATAAATAATTGTGTGGATTCAGTAAGTAAAAACTATATCTGTATTATATTATTTATAAAATATTAATGTTTTTTTATTAAATAGCAGGATAAAATTAAAGAATTATATAAAAATGAAATTAATCCAATAAATAGAAACGATGAAACAATGGCAGAATTTCAAAAAAAAATAGAAAAGATACCAGGATATAATAAAAAGAAAATTGGATATTACAGTGTATTTTTATCGAATGATGAAATTAAAGCAGGAGAAGAAATAGGACAGGAATATGTTACTCAATATAAAATATATTACAGGGATTCATTGGATAACGATTTAGACCATTCATTGAATTTTAAAGATTTAAAAAACTATTTTAATAAACAGGGCACAGATTATACGGACAGTGATATTACAAATTTCATATATTTAATGGCATCAGATCACACAAATATCGACTACTCATCTTTTTTGAGTGCATGTATCAAGTTTCACAAAGATTTCGAGAATTTACATCCAATGTGGAAATATAGTTTAAATGGAATTGCAATTAATAGAACCGAGGAAATGAATAGAATAGCAGACGAGGCTTTAGCTCGTTATTCACGTTTAAGAAGAGAGTATGACCAAGCAATGAAGGATATAGATCAAGAAATTAAAAGAAATTTAGATAATTTTAGAGCTCAATATGAACAAATTACTGGCAAAAAATTAGAAAAATAAAAAATCTAAAATTCTTTATATAATATATTATTATATTTTATATAAAGTTTATTAAATTAATTAAATATTTTTGAGTTTTTATTTAATAGATAAAAAATAGAAACTATGTTTTATTTTTTATTATTTTTTTTTATTTTTTATAAATGTATAATATTTATTATAAAAAGTATTTATATATACAAAAAAAAAGATAAAATTTTTATCTTTTTGTATGCAGAGAAATTGAATGATTAGTTTAGGCAAGGGCTTTTAAGATTGTATGTTGCAATGTTTTTAATATATTTTCTTGTTCAATGGTTCCATCTAAATATCTTGCAATAGCAATAAGACCCATATTGTTTTGGAATAGTGCAATACCAGTAGTATCCTATATAGAGAAAAATATTAGTATTTTTTTTAAAATTTTTTTTTAAAAATTATCTTTAGTGAACTTACATGTTTGGCTATAATGTAACTAGCAGTACTCTTGGTTCTGGTGTAGCTTTTCCCTCCAATGACAATTGGAGCATCTCTGAATAATGTGAATACTTCTGTTACTTTTTTAACTTCTTCATTGGAAATTTGGAAATTATTAGATTTCCCCAAACAAATTTTTTCTGGTGCACCTATTATACATGCATCAATGTAGTTAACATTTTGATCTAATATATTGGTTTTGATGAAAGCTTCGTTAATTGCTACCATTGTATTTTTTTATTATTATTATTTAATATAAAATTTTTGTTAATATTATTATTTTTTTAATATAGAATGGAATATTTTTGAAAAAAAATTTTTTTTTATTGCAAATTAAAAAATCTATTATAGTTTTGAAATCCCTGTAGGTTTTTGTTTTTTTTTCTATAAAACTAAAATTTAATAAATTATAATAATAGTTTTTTATAATATTTAATATTTTTTTTTAAATTTATTTTTTTTTATTTTAAATTATTTTTTTTAATTTAAATTATTAATTAATTTTTTAAAAATATTTTTAATTTTATTTTTATAATAGTTTTTATTTATCCATTTTAAAAAGTTTTACCCCATTTACGATTATTTTATATATTTAAATATTGTTTCCAATAAGCATAAGAAATATTGAAATTATGTATAAATGAGTTAGTGTGTTATTGTATAGTTATCATCATAATTTTATTAACATATTAATTTTTTATGTGTTTGTGTCTTTTAATCTATATAGATTTTTTTAAAATTACCACATTAAATTATTTTTTAGCATAGATAAATAATATAAAAGGAAAAATATTGAAGATATCGATAATATTTTAAATATTTAGTTTTTTAGTATAAATGAATCTATATAATAAATAACGCAAAAAATAAAGAAATAAGATAATGTAATTGATTAATAATTTATAAAAAGATAAAAGTTTAATACAAAAAAAAAAAAAAAAAAAAAAAACCATGAAAACTGCTTTTTATTTACATTTAACCAATCTGTCATTAATTTTTGTTATATGAGAAAAAGTAAATATTAATGGTTGTAAGTGTTATTATGATTATAATTTCTGAATATTGATCGTGAAGTTACGATTACCCCAAAAAATAAATAGATATTTTTTTTTTTCTTTTAAAATTTTTTTTTTTAAAATTTTTTCTGAATATTTTTTGATAAATCAATTATAAAAATACATATAGAAATATCTTTATAAAAAAAAACCTATTTTTATTAAATGTAATTGATTTGATCTTCTGATCCTATCGGATTTTCAAAATTTAAAATAATTTGGTTATTTTTTTATAATTTTTTTTTTTTTTTTTTCAAAACCAACCATTGAAACAATAATAAAAAAACAATGTATTATTACTTATTTCTAGCTTTATATATTTTAAATTTTCAATTAATTACTTCAATAAGTGACAACGAATGTAAATATTTTTTTATTTTTTTTTATTTTTTTTTTTCATTTTTTTTAAATTAATTTTTGATTTCTTTTTTATATTATTTTTTAAAATACAAAGATGCATGTGCCTATAATTTAGTATCGAGAACTTTTGGAACTGGTTATATCCAACCGGTATCAAATAATCCTTCATTATTGGATTTCTGCAATAACTCAAATTTTACTTGCAATGGGGATTATTTTACAAGGGTAACATTTGAACAATATGGGTCAGAAGGATCGTTATTTTCATCACTATTTTCGTGTTTCGAAAAAGTTCAAACAATGTAAGTGTTTTTTTTAATTTATTATTATAAAGTGTTGTATATTAATATCTTTTTTATATAGGACTTTTTACAATTTCGATTTACCACCAGATTTTTTTAGTGCAATAAATACTAAAAGTGATTTAAAAACATTGTAATTAATTATATATAAAATAAAATAAAATAAAATAAAATTATTAACAATATTCTATTTTTATTTAAATTTAGATATCTTTATAATTCAAAAGGATTTAATATTGATTCAAGTTTATCACCATATTTAACATATTTACAAATGACATTTAATAATGGACCATCATATATTATAAATATGAGTTGGTTAAAAAACTTAAAAACTTTTATTGTTTCAGAAAGTGTTTTAGATAGCTCAATTACATTTATAAATGATATTACAACTGAAACTGTTAATTTTGATAATTTGTGGGTATAATTATTAATTTCATTTTATAAATATTTATTTTCCATATTTCTAATTATTTTTCTTTAAAATAAATAATAGTGATGTTGTTTCAAGTAATTTTCCCAACATGAATAAAATTACATGCAATACCTAGTAAGTTGTTTTTAATCATTAAAATTTTAATTCGCTTTTAGTAAATATTAATTTTTTTTTTTTAAAAATAAAAAAAGTTCATTAAAAGTTGGAATAGGTTTTGATAATAATAATTTAGACAGTATTGGTCAGACATATACATTAATCACGAAAATAACAATAGGGGGTAACAAAATTACATGGCCATTTAATACAATACCAAGTTCAAATATTGTTCAAACTTTGTAAGTATATTTTGTTTATTTTATAAAATTATTTAAGTTTATATTAACACTTACATATATAGAACATTTAACAATCAATTAAACTCACAAACATCATATATATCATTATCATCATTTTCAAAATTATCAACGTTAACAATGGGATATGTTGGAACTTCTTTTTCAGTATCAGGTATATTCCCATTTAATAGTTATCCAGCAAATTTAAAAACAATTATCTTTAGTGGTGGTCAATTAAATGCTTTACCAAATTTTAATATGAATAAAGTGAATAAATTGGTTTTAACAAATAATAAACTATCAACCACCCTCAACAAATGGGATAGATTAAATTCAAACATAAAAAATCTAGATTTATCTTCGAATTCCCTAACTGGCCCAATCGATTACTCATGGTGTTATATAGATGTAAATTTTTTTGGTAATACACTTTTGAATGGGGCCCTTCCAACATGTATGAATTGTTATCCAGATTTCAAAACAAAGTTAGGCACTTCTTTTTCGAATCTAAATGACAAATGCACATCTATTATACCAAACCTCAGGGTGGATACCGCTTCTAAAAAATTAAGTCTTTTTGGGCGTGATATTGGGTTTAGCGGCTTCTCTACCAAACCATTCTCAACAACAGTTTCAATTGGTTCTGCATCTTGGGTAGCTGACGTCACCAACGAATTATTCACTTATACAGGTTATTCTACCTTACCAGGATTATTATATTTTACATTTTCAACCAATCCCACTCAGACCTTTACCCTCTCGACAACTTTAACTCCACCTGTTATAAATAGTTTTTCAATAACACCAGCATCATATAATCTTCAATTATTAGGTTCATATTATTCATACAATACATCATTAGTTTTAATAACAATTGATGAGAAAGTTTGCCCTGTATCATCATCCGTTTTTGATCAAATAAACTGCATCATTCCTTCATCCCTAAATATAGAAAAAACCAATGTTATTACAAGGGTGTGTGTTAATTCCCTTTGTACTCAAATTACAATAAACCTCAAAGGAAGTGGAACTATAAAAGCGTGTAGCCCATTGTGTACTTCACCACAATACTGCTTAAGTACAACAGGAGCCTGTGTTTGTCCAGACGGATATCAGGGTGCTGGATGTGATATTCCATTTAAAAGCTGTTTAAATGATTGTAATGGTGGTTTAAAAGGTGTTTGCAATAATGTTACTGGTGTGTGCACTTGTTCTGATCCATTTAATATATCTCCAGATTGTTCATTGGTCCCTTGCAGAGTTCCAACCTGCAGTAACCATGGAATATGTCTCACAAGCAATGGTACTTGTTCATGTGAAAAAAACTATATTAAAGATGATTGCTCAGAAATTAATATTCCTTGCCCAAACAACTGTGTTGATTCCAACCATGGAACATGTGACTTTTCAACAGGAAAATGTAGCTGCAAAACAAACTATCAATCAAATGATTGTTCAATTCCTTTCAAAGCATGCCCAAACAATTGTGGTGGATCGACCTTGGGTTCATGTAATAATCAAACAGGGGTTTGTACATGTGTAGATAAAAATTCAATATCAATAGATTGCTCTGTAATAGAATGTAAAGTACCCAATTGCTCAAACCATGGTTCTTGTAACAAGTCTATTGGAAAGTGCATTTGTGACAATTTCTATATTAACGATGATTGCGCAGTACTACATATGCCATGTTTAAATAATTGTACTGACTCAAATCATGGAACATGTGACTATTCTACAGGCAAATGTAACTGTGAAACCAATTTCCAATCAAGTGACTGCTCAGTGCCCTTTAAAGAATGTCCAAATAACTGCGGAGGTTTATCAATGGGAGTGTGTAACAACCAGACAGGAGTTTGTTCATGTATAGATGAAAATACCATTTCAGAAGATTGCTCTTTAAAAGAATGTGGTATTTCAAACTGCTCAAATAATGGTATTTGTAATATGTATACTGGTAACTGCGCATGCTTTGAAACCTATCAAAACCAAAACTGTTCAGAGAAGTATATCCCTTGCCTAGCTGAATGTATTTTAGATGCTCAATGTTATAACGTAACTGGTGAATGCTTATGCCCACTCTCATCTCAATTTTACAACTCTTCCAGTGGATGCATTTGTAAAGATAATTTATATATAGGGAAAAATTGTGATATTGCAAACCATTATATTTCATCAGTAGAGCCAACAACTCAGCTTGGAGGTATTGTAACATTAGGTGGATGGTTTGGTTCAATCAATCAAAACATTACTATTATGATTGGAAGTAACCAATGCATGATCCTATCAGAAAAAGATATTTCACCAACAGAGATTAAATGTAGCATCCCACCCGGAACCGGAAAGCATTCAATTAATATGACCCAAAATAATTTAGCTTGGGTTGGTAATAACCTGTATACCTATTTACCAATAGTTGTAAAATGCCCAAATGATTGTAATGGAAATGGGGAATGTATTGATGGTATTTGTTTTTGTAATAATGAATATATTGGTACAAGCTGTGATATTAAAATTAACAATAACAGTAATAACAACAATAATAACAATAATACAAACAACAACAATAACAATAATAGCAACGAAATTCCAAAAACAAATAATAATGTTAATACATCAACAGGCTCTATAGAAATTAATAATGAGCAAGATCAATACACTGTTGAAATCATATCAATTATAGAATTAGATATAGCAGGAACTAATGTTAGGGAATACCCACTAGATAAGAAATGGTTATTTAGTAATAAAACTAATTCAATTTATCAATTTACACAATACCTAAAAGACCAAAATATTAATTGTATAATTAGCTATCAAATTGAAGAGGTCCTTTCAAATAAAAACTTTTCATTTGCAGGAATTAATTTTATGGTTCCAATGGGAGGTCTTAAACTTTCTTTATCAATTAAAAACTATTCGTTTTTAAGCTCCCTAAATACTCTACAAGTTTTAATATCATCTAGTATTGGAGAAAATGAAAATGTTGGTAAAAACAAATGTAATAATCAAACAACTGTTATTGAATCTGATCAAAATAAAGAAGAAGAATTTCAAACAATGGCCTCAATTACAATTTTCAAAAATGAAAAGGTTTTAATTGGAAGATTTATCAATAGGGCAATCGTAGATAATGAAAAAACTACATTAATTTCAACATCACTTAAAGAAAAAACCAATAATTCAATTATTGTATCTATCAATTTACCACACTCTAGAAACTACCTTTTAGATCCTGATTTTTCTTTGCTAGTAAAGTCTAATTTCATTCAAACCTGTAATGAAAACAAAAAAAACTGGTTAGTTCCTGTTGCTGTTGTATTACCAACAATTGGTGCCGCCACCATCGGGCTTGGAGCTTTTTTCTTAGTCAAAAAATACAAATTCTTTTTTAAAATCTCATATAATAATATAAAATTAAAAACTCTAAATAAATTTAAATAATTTCTTTTATTTTTTTTTTAATAATACATTTTGCAAAAAGTGAGACATAATATAAGATTTAAAATAAAACAGGGAATAAAAGCAGAAGGTAATTTCTTTTTAAAGACTTTAAAATAAAGAAAAATTTTTTTTAAAAACTATACATTTATTTTTTTAAAAAACTATACATTTATTTTTTTATTTTATTTAACTTTTTTTTTTTATTTTTTATAAAACGATTTTAATTATTTTTGATAATTCTTGATTTTTCTTGTTAATTGTAAGTGTTAAAAGACCATCATTGAATTGTGTTTTGATACTGGATAAATCTAAAACATGTAATACCTTGGTTAGGTCTAAATATCTTTTGAAACTACCATATGATCTTTCTGATAAATATTTCTTATTTTTAAACTCATTATTACCCTCTGTTGTTGTTGTTATTTCTGATGAAACCTCTAAAACCGATCTCTTCTTTTCACCTTGAATATATAACTTTGAATCTTTAATTTCGATTTGAATATCATCTTTATTTACACCTGCTAATTCGATCTCGATAATAAATGAGTTTGGTGTTTCAACTACATCGAGATCTGGAACAAAACCAATATTGGTAGTTTCAATATAACTATAATTATTGTTTAAATGGTGATTTAATAAGTTTTCAAAAATTGTGGCCATTTTTTGTTATTATTTTATGATTTATCAACTATTGGAATTTTATTAATTAGTTTATAATATTTTATCTTTTTTTATTTATATGATTATTGTTGTTTGAAGAGAAATATAAAATATAAATTTAGTTTTAAATAATATTTATAGTGATTCATTTTTGTAATAGTTTAAAATATAAAATGAAATGAAAAGAAAATTCATTAAATTAAATTTTTTTTTTTTTTTATTTTTTATAAAAATTTTTTTAATTTTTTTTTTAATTTCCTCCAAAATTTCATTTAAAATTATTTTTAATTTTCATTAAAACCCTCGCACCCAACATGAAAGAATGGAATTTATTTAATCTAAATTATTTGGAAATTAATAATGTTATTAAAAAAAAAATAATATAAATTAAAAAATTTTATTATTTTTTTTATTCTTCCAACAAATAAACAAATAAAACAAATAAACAAATAAACAAATAAAATAAATATATATTTATTTAATTTTTATAATAACTCAGTTCAAATATATTAATATAATAAAATAATTAAAAATGGCAACTATTTTTGATATCTTATTAAATCAAAATTTAAATAATAATAATTTTAAATCACAAATAAAAAGAGAAATAATTAATTTTATACCAGATTCAGATGTTATTGAAACCAAAGATTCTTTAGTCATTGAAACTGAACTTGCAGGTGTAAATAAAGATGATATTCAAATCGAAATTAAAGATTCAAAGTTATATATTCAAGGTGAAAAGAAAAGATCAACATATAAAAATAACATTATTGAAACCACCACCCAAATTGATAACGAACCATCCATTGAAGAGTTTGAAGATATTAGCACCTCTGATACCACCGCCACCAGTTTACAATCAAATAAAGAAAGCAAACCAGAATCAAGCACTACCAATACCGTCACTGACAATACAAAAGAACAAGTTAAGAAATATATCTGCGAAAGATCATACGGTAAATTCAGAAAATATTTAGACTTAACCAGAATATTGTATACATTAGATTTATCAAGTATCAAAACACAATTCAACAACGGTCTTTTAACAATAACTATTAATAAGAAAAAAGATTATTCAAATACAATTAAAATAAACTTATTATAAAGAGATAAATAAAAATTAACATTTTGTAAATATTAAAAAATTTCTTTTGCAAATCTAAAATTTGAAAGCTTATATTATTTTTTAAATATTTTTTATTATCAATTATTATTAATTTCTATTATTAATATCTATTATTATTAATATCTATTTCAATAAATTTATTTAAAAAAAAAAAAAGAATAATTTTATTATAAATGAATTGAATAATTATGGGTATGATTTTATTAATTTACTTTTTTATTATTATTATTATTTATATGATTATTATGATTATGATTATGACTATGGTTACGATAAATCATTTCTTTCCAATCCCCAAACTTCTAATTCTATACAAACAAAGTCTTGATTATTTAAATCTTTATCATTTTCAACTGATAATAATGAATCACTATTAAAAGTTAAACATGGGCTGGATACACCGATATTGAAATCACTATCTAGCCAAATAGCATATTTTCCGTCACTACCACCACCCATCGAAATATAATGTTCAGTGGTTTGAACATAACATTCATTCTTTTTTGACCAGGGATAGCATTTAAATTCTCCAGGCTTGAGATGGAAAACAAAGCATTCTCCAGAACCATAGTAGCTTTTAGATGGTCTGATAGAATCTGAAACGAAACCGCCAAAAACTCTTGATTTAGAATCTTTAATGAAAATAAGACATGGGCCTTGATCTCTGGTTCTACTGTAAAATGTGTTCATTGATATACCATGATGAACTGTTTTATATAATAAAAACCAATCTTTTAGTTGATAGCTAAGTGGTAAAAATGGTATTAAACACTTAGCATCTTCAACTGTAATAAATGATGGTGATGATACACCATAAAGTGTTGGAACAAAATCTACAGCTGTATCATCATCTGAATCCGAAAAATAATCTCTAATATCGAATGACTCATCATCTGTGTTATAATTGAAACCATTTTCGCCAAATGAATTTGTTGAAATATTGATCACACCATCATTGTTATTAGTATTACTGTTATTTAAATCAAACAACCCTCCCATAGATGAACCAAAATTTAAAAATCTGCTAGAGAATGAATTATTTTGTTGCTGTTGTTGTGATGATGGTTGTGGATGTATTGGAGTATTTGATGAAGAAGAAAGAACAGATACATTTTGAGGTGGAGATTTTGATAAGATTGGTGAAGTTGTTGTTGAATTATTATTACTATTACTATATTTTGAATATAAATTTTTTGATACTGAAATATCTTGAACAATTTTATTGTTTCTCTCTGTATATTTATTGACTTGGTTGTAAATTGAAATTGCATCTTCAGAATCACATTCAAAAAGAATATCTCTTTTAACAACCAATAAATGTACACAGGATAGATGATTTTTTTCATTTGAAGATTTTTTTAAATTATTTTGCTCATCATTATTATAAAGTTGATCTATTTGTTGATTATTATTATTATTATTATTATTTTGTTCATCATCCATATTAAATTGTAATTGATCTTTTGAATTATTTAAACTTGTTTTTGGTACCAAACTACAGTAGCACACATCTGACATGGTATAATCTAATTGGAATTTTAAAGAACCTTCTTTTTTAACTATTGGGTCATTAACATTTGCTTGAAAAATAAATCTATTTGGTAAAATTGTTAAAATACCCTCTACAGCTGTGCATTGGTCATATAAATAAAATATTTCAAATTTAAAAACTTCGCTATCTATTGCTGAAATTCTATTGAATGGTGATAATAATTTACTAGTGTTGATTGAAGATTCTTTTGGTGGCGATGAAACTATATTATTTTGACTATTATTTAATTGTGAGGAATCATTTGAATTTAAAGTAGAACTATTTTGATCTAAAATTAATTTATCAAAATTTTTACTAAACCCAAATGACGATTTTATTGGTGAAATTGGTATGTTATTATTATTATTATTGTTATTATTATTTAAACTATTTGGTGAAGATAAAAGTAACATTTCTGAAATTGGTTGTGATAATAGTTTATCCCAATTGAAAGGTTGATTTTGTGGTACTAGTATTTCGTCTTCATTATGAACTTGGTCGATCGAATTAAAAGAATTCTTGAGGTGAGATTCAATAAATTCAAGTGATTGATAATCTTTTTTACTATTTACAATTATAAAATTCTTTTTATAGGAATCTTGAACAAAAGATTTTAAATATATACAAAGCAATATTGAATTTGTTGACAATATTGATAGATGATCATGATTAATTCCCATAGTATTTGAATCTTTATCATATTTACTGAGCTTCCAACCTGAGATATTATTAAATAGAACTTCTAGTTTATTATCTTGATATTTAACTGGTTTAGGTGTAAATAAAAATATATTATTATTTGAGATCTTGATTGATCCAAGAATTATATTGGTCTTATATCTAATATTATTTTTATTTGGTTGGTAATATTGTTGATGTTGTATTGTTTGTTGAATAAATAAAACATTATCAATAAAGTAACTATTAAAGGTATTATTTAAATGTATTACTAAGGAATTACTATTAGAAGAAGGGGAATAACTATTTTGTGATTGTGAAGCTAAATAAGATCTAATTTTATTTATTGCTGAATTTGAAGATGAATATGAATTTGAAAGATCATCAATTTGGTGGCCATCTAATGTATTAATATCTTTACTGTACATTGAAATATCATATTTCTCTCTTAATCTAGGTAGTAGAGAACGATAAGTGTTGACACATTCAAACAATGCCATACTATCTTTACTATCAATTAATCCTTTATTAAAAAACTTTTTTAATTTTTCTTCTTCTGGGGTTGGATTATTATTGTTATTATTATTATTATTGTCATTATTATTATTGTCATTACTATTACTATTTTCAAAATAATCAAAATCTTGTTTAAAATGTGAATATACTATTAATGTTTGCCCTGGATATAAGTTTTTATTTTCTAATCTATTTATTATCATTAAATCTATTTCTGACATATTATATTTTGTTGAAATTGACAATACTGAATCTGAAACTTGAACATTTATAAACTTGAATCGACTATTATTAACATAGATATTATTATTTTTATTACTATTGTTATGATTATTATTATTATTATTATTGTCACTATCATTATATTTTGAATTTAGCTGTGTTGTTGTTATTGAATCCAATAATATTGATGGTATTACCCCTGAAGATCCCAAACTATCCTCTTGACTACTACTATCTGGTGTTAGACCTATAATTGAATTACCACCACTATTTCCTAAAGAATAAAATTTCTATATTTTTTTTTTTTTATTATTATTTTAAAAATTAGATTTCTTTAAAGAAAAAAAATAGAAAAAAAAATAGAAAAATAAAAACTATTTTAAATAACTAGGTACCTTTAAAATATTCATTTCTTATTAATTTTTTCTTTTATTTATTATTATTATTAATATTATTATTATTATTATTATTATTATTATTATTATTATTGAAAATTTGTTAGATATTTATTTTTTGTATTTTTTTATTATTTTATTTTTAAAATAATTTGATTTGTTTTATGGTGGATCTGTTTTAGTCATGTATATAGTTATATAGAATAGTTTTTAAAAAAAAATGCAAATATAATAAAAGTGAAAAGTAATCAAACTGATAGCAAATACTGTGTTATAATAAAAAATAATAAATGAAAAAATTAAAAAAAAAAAACAAAAAAATAAAATTTTTTTTTTAAAAAAATAAAAATAATAATAAATTAAAAAAAAAAAAAAATAAAAAAATAAAAATAATAATAAATTTTAAAAAAAAAAAATTCTCTGGTGGAAAAAAAACAAAAAAAAATTGATAGATGGTAATGGTTGTGGTATTCTTTTAATACCAAAAAAGAACTACTACTACTACCACTACACTACAACACTATTGCTTTATTGTGGTTCATTTTAGGGAATTATTTTATTTATTATGGTATCCAATAACATAATACCTTTTTTCGAAAGTTTTATATTACCTTTTTCATTGTCGAAAATTAATAATTCTTGTTCAATTAATAGATTGACCTGTTTCATATTTAAATACTGATCTAGAGTTAAACCATTTGTCAATAATGAGAATGTTGAATTTTGAACACCTTCTTCTGTCCTTAATCCCATTAAAAGTAATTCATTGGCGACATCTGTATTTGATAATAATTGATTTTCCAAAAATGCATTTTTGAGTATGCTTTCTTTTGGTTTTGGGTTATTGATAATTCCATCATTATTGGTAGTTGATGAATCTAATAATTCTTTCATCCAATCTTTGGGGTGTAATATATTTTTAGTTGAATATCTATTTATTAAACTACTATTATTATTATTATTATTATTATTATTATTATTATTATTATTATTATTATTATTATTATTATTATTATTATTATTGTTTTCGTTAATGATTGATATTCTTGAAGATGAGCCAGGACCAATACCAATATAGTCACCGCCTCTCCAATAATTTAAATTATGTTTACTCTTTTGTGATTCTGATGATGTGAAGTTACTAACTTCATATTGATTGAAACCATGTTTATTGGTTTCTTCTAATGTAATTTCGTATAAATCTCCAGCTGTTTCATGGTCTAATTCATTGATCTTATGACGACTTGATCTCTTCATGTTTAATCTTTTATGGAAACTGGTACCTTCTTCGAAAGTAAGGCAATACAAACTAATATGACCTTGACCATGTGTCAAGTATAAAGCATCTTTTAATTCGTTTCTCCAGGACTCTCTAGTTTGCTTTTGATGTCTTGCATATATTAAATCGAATGTAACATTATCAAACAACTCTTGTGCTATCTTTAAAGACTCTGCAGCTTGTTTTCCAGTATGAGTTCTACCTAAATATTTTAAATCCTCATCTATAAATGACTGAATACCCAATGACACACGATTAACACCTACAAACTGTTTAAAGTCTTTTAACATCGATTTTAAATCTTTTTGGTCTGGATTAACCTCTAATGTAATTTCTATATCTTCAATTGTGAGCGATGGAAACATCTTTCTCATTGTTTCCATGGTCTCTACAAAAGTGCTGATTTTTGCAAGTGAAGGTGTTCCACCACCAAAATAAATTGAATTAATTGGTCTATTCTGTTGGTGCTCTTGTGTATGGTAGTATTTTCTTGAAAACGCCTCTAACTCCCGACTGAGTGCACTTGACATTCTTTTATGATCAACATGATCACCATCTTTATATTTATTAAATGAACAATAGGGACATATGTGTGTGCAATATGGCCAATGCAGATACAACGATATTGGTAAACTATGTAAACTGTTATAACCTAAATGCTGTGTAATATTATTATTATTTAACTTTGGTATTATTTTATTTAACACCATTTTTTTTTTTTTAAAATTATTTTACATTAATTTTTTTTTTTTTTTTAAAATTATTTTACGATTTTTATTATTTTTTTTATTTTTTTTTTTTTTTAATTCATTTTCATTTTCTTTTTTTTAATTAATTAATAAAATGTCAGGTGTTACAAGAGCCAAAGTCTTCTTTGATGTTTCCCATGGTAAAAAGCCATTAGGCAGAATCGTCTTTGAATTATTCAATGACGTTACACCAAAAACCTCTGAAAACTTCAGAGCTTTATGCACTGGTGAAAAAGGTGTTGGCAAAGCTGGCAAACCATTACATTACAAGGTAAAACCTTTTCTATAATTATTAATCATTAAAAAAAAAAATAGAAAATTAACATTTTTTTTATTTTATTTTAGGGTTCAAAATTCCATCGTGTAATTCAAAATTTCATGTGCCAAGGAGGTAAATTATTATTATTTATTATTATTTATTAGAAATTTAAATTTTTATTAATTTTGTTTTATTTTTCAATATTTAAATAGGTGATATTACAATGGGTAATGGTTATGGTGGTATGTATTATTAATATGAATTCTATTTATATTTTATATTCCAAATACTAAATAACTTTACAAATTAATAACAGGTGAATCAATCTATGGTCGTACATTCCCAGATGAAAACTTCAGCGTCAAACACTCAATTGGTTGTTTATCAATGGCTAATGCTGGTAGAAATAGTAAGTTTTATTTATTAAATAATCACTCCAATATACACTATACTAATAATATTTAATTATTTTATTATATTTTTAGCCAATGGTTCACAATTTTTCATTACCACTGTTGAAACCCCAGGTTTAAATCAAAAACACACCGTTTTTGGTAAAGTTATTGAAGGTTTTGAAATTGTTAAAAAAATTGAATCTGTTCCAGTTAACAGAGACGATGCTCCACTCGAAAATGTTATCATTGAAGACTGTGGTCAACTTTAAAAACATAATTTAAAAATATCATTAAAAAATAGAAAAACAAATAAAAACTAAATAATAAAAAAAACCCACCAGAATTAATTCTATATTTATTTTGGAAATATAATATAATTCTTTTTTTTTATATTTTTTTATATTTTTTATTTTTTTAAAATTTTTTTTTAAAATTTTTTTATAAAACTTTTTTTTTTTTTTTTTTCATCAACCAATATCCATCCATAGTATTTAATAGTACAATTACAATTTAAAATGTCAAATAAAGAAAATTTAGAAGAAATCATCAAAGGTATCCAAGAAAATAAAATTTTAGAAGGTAAATATTAATTTAAAAAAAAAAAAAAAAATTGAATATTAAATATTAATATATTTATTATTATTGCACTTTACCAAAAGCTTTTGATAAATATTATCATGATGATGTAATTATGTTTGAAAAAGGTGACTCAACCAACCGTGTTGGTAAAGCTGCAAATCGTAAAGCTGAAGAAGGTTTTGTAAATAATGCTACCATCCATGAAGCAAAAGTATTAAAACTTTTAGTTGATGGTGATAATACTGCCTATGAAATGTTAATGGACTTTACCTATGGTGGTAATCGTATCACGTAAGTATCATTTATATCCATTGAATAGTTTGATTTTTAATACTCACCCATATTCTTTTTTTTTTTTTTTTTTTCTCAGAAAAACCCAATGGGCCATTCAACAATGGAAAGATGGCAAAGTTATTAAAGAAGAATTCTATTAAACACCCACACATGTCGAAACCACTTTATTTTTAGTTATAAAATAATAAAACATTAAATAATAAAAAAATAACAAATTATAATATTTTGTTATTAATTTAAACTTGTATTATAATTTCAAAAACTTGATCAAATTGTTTTTATATTTATTTTTAAAAAAAAAAAAAAAAAAGAAGAACCTATAATTAAAATATTCAATAATTTTAATCTTTTGACCTATTCTCTAAATAAAAATTGGAGAATAAAATTTTTGAAAATTATTTATTCAACTAAATATTTGATTTTTTAGTTGAATAAATTTTTAGTTGGTTACACTAAGCCCAATTATAAAAATCACCACAAATTTAAATATTATAAATTGCAATTCATTTTTAAAATTAACACCCAACAGAATCAAATAAACAAATTTATCAATTTCAAGAATTATTAATATAAAAAAAAAATCATAAAAAAAAAAAATCAAAAAAAAAATCAAAAAAAAAAAATAATATTTAAAATCTTAAAAGTGTAATTTTTTTTTTTTTAATTTTTTTTTTAATTTAATTATAAAAAAAAAATTAACCCACAAAAAAAAAAAAAAATTTTATTTTTATTAAAAACACATTTCAACAAATAAATAAGAGATAATAATAATTATAGTAATAACAATAACAATAATAATATGAATAAATACACTTATCATTCTAATAGTGATAGTGAAAGTGATGATAATATAAAAGATAGACATCACAGGGGTAACTATAGAGATAAAGAAAGAAATAAAAGTAAAGAAAGAGACAATGATAGACATGACAATTTTGGAAGCAGAAATAATAACAATAACCCTGATGATGCACAGTTAGAAAATGATGATTATCATAGCAACAACCAAACTGTTTTTGTAGGAAATTTACCAAAAGATGTAACTTTTAAAGATATAGAAAATATATTTAGGGACCATGTAAAAAAAATAGGTAAAATTGATATTAAAAACGGATATGCCTTTGTAGTTGTAAATAAAGAAGATTCAGATAGATGTGTAAAGGAGTTAGATGGTAAAGAATTTTTTAAAAAACAATTAACTATACAATTGGCAAAAGGTGAATGGTAAATATTTCATTTTTATTTTAAAAATATTCAATCACATTAAACTAATTTCATACTAGTAAAAAAGAAGGTAACAAACCTAGAAGACCCTGCCCTGCAATTTTTATTGTAAATTATAATGTTTTAAAAACTACAATTAACTTAATCATTAAACTTTGCCAACCACATGGTGTTATTAATAGAATTCAAATGGTTAAGAACTATTGCTTTGTAGAATTTAGCTCAACAATTGAAGCAACCAAAGCTTTAAATTATCTAAATTATAAAATTGTAATATATTTATTTTTTTAATTAAAATATAATTATAATTATACTAATACATTTTTTAATATAATGAATAGGTTGATGGTCACACCCTTACAGTTGAATATGTTTGTGGAGTATTTCCAGATAAAGGTGGTCTTAGCTATGTTAGACCCAGATCAAATTCAAGATCAAGATCACCACCAAACCACAGAGATAGAAATGACAGAGACAACGATAGAAATGGAAACGATAAATATAGGGGTAGAGAAGGGGATAGGGATAGAGATAGGGATAGAGACAGAGGTAGAGATAGAAATAGGGTTAGAGACCGATATCATAGAACCAATAGATCAAGATCAAGAGATAATAATTATAAAAAAGAACAAAACTATTATAATAATAACAAATATCGCAGCACTAATGGCACAGATAATAATAACCACAGTCATAATATCAATAACAATAATATAAATAATAGTATTAACAAGGAGGAAAAAAAAAGAAGCAGAAGCAGATCAAATAGTGATTCAAGAAGCAGATCAAGAAGTATTAATAGCGACCAAAGTGATAGGGGCAGAAATAAAAGAAATAGTAGATCAAGATCAAGAAGTTTAAGTAATGGTAAAAGAAAATATAACACCGATAGATCAAACTCCAGATCAAACTCTAGATCAAACTCAAGATCAAGAAATAATATCTGTAATAACAATAATAATAACAACTATAATAACAATTATAATAATAACAACTATAATAACAATTACAATAGTAATAACAATTATAATAATAATTATAATAAAAACAATATTTATAATAGATCAAAATCACCACCAAAGAAAAGAGAAAGAATTGATTTATTCTAAATAAAAGAATTATTTAAATAAAAAAAATAAAAAAATAAAAAAACTTTTTAAATCTCTATAATTATTTTTTGTTAATTTTTAGAATATGTATTACTTTTAATTTTAAAAAATTATACATATTTTATAAAAATAAATTAATTTTATTACATTAAAAATATAGCTTTTTATTATTATTATTTTGAGGCGGTTTATTACATTTATATAAATATGTATCGATATGAAATTATAGAGAGATTATTTATAATTTTGATCTTGGGAGTTCTTTGCAGGCTAAGAAACGACCTAAAACAAAAGCACCGTGACGAGCACCTTCTGAGAGAGCAATAGCACCTGAAATCATCATTTCAATAGTTGGATCAACTGAACCTTTTGGAAGAGCTTTGAAAGTGTTGATGGTTTTACCGTCGAGAATTTCCCAATTACGTAAAATGTCACCTTCTTGGGTAAGATCCATAGCGATGTGGACGTAGAAACCAGCATCTTCCATCATCTTTCTGTATGATTGGAGTGAACCCATGTGTGGAACAGAGTGATGAGCGCAAATTGGTTCAATGAATTGAACGATATCTTTTTCGGTTGGGTTAACACATTGTAACCATTCTGAACCAGAGAGACGACCGCCTGGTTTTAAAACACGGAAACATTCCTTGAGGAAAGCAGCTTTGTCTGGCATGTGACAGGTTGATTCAAAGAAAGTAACAGCATCAAAAGTATTATCTGGGTATGGCATTTTCATGGCATCACCGTGATCGAATGAAGCACGATCAGCAACACCTAAATCTTTAGCACGTTGAGTGGCAATACCGACTTGTTTTTTGTTGATGTTAAGACCACGAATACGACAACCAGTGTATTGACAGATTTCGAGGGTTGGACCACCAACACCACAACCAACATCTAAAACTAAGCTGTCTTTAGTGATACGAGCAGAGTCAGCAACTTGGTGTTCAAGACGTTTGACGGCAGTTTCGAGGGTTTCGGTGGTGTTCTTGAATGGAGCAAAGTGGAAATGGTTACCCCAACCGCTTTGGTAGGTTTCAGTGACGATATCATAGTAGTCGCTGACCATAGTATTGTAGTTTTCGACACGTTTTTCTTCCTTTAAACGAACGGTTTCGAATTTTTCATCCTTGACAACATCTTCGACTGGAGCAACTTTAACGATTGAACCAGATTCAATGGTCTTTTTAATTGATTGGGTGAAAGCATCCCAGGTTTGAGCCATTTCACGGTTACCCATGGTACGAGCAAAACCAACTAAGAGTTTTGGGATTTCAATATCGGTTTCAATGTTGGCTTCAGCGGCTAAAGTTGATTTGTTGGCACCGGTTGAGGTAATGACGAATTTACCAAAGCTTGACATGTTACCACCTTGGACGTTTTCCCATTGGACAACGTTGTTACCGACTTTAGTGTATTTAGCAATGTGGAAAGCTTTCATTTGAATTGAACCGACTTTACGTTCTTGCATGGTCCATTTGTAGGTTGATGGTTTAACTTGTTCGACTGAATCGACAAATGGATAACATTTAGCTAAGGTTGGAACATCTAAAATGAATGCGATGACTTTTTCAGCTGATTGATTGATTTCAATTGGTTTAGCTTGGTGGGTAGTTTGAATTAAGACCATTTTATTTTATTTATATATAAATATTTATTTTTTTTTTTTTGAAAAATTTAAAATATATTATATTATTTTTATTTTTAAATTGTGATAAATTAAATTAATTTGAAATCTTGAAAAGACTCGTTAACTTTATTTATATATCGATATTTTTATTTATAAAAAAAAAAAAATTATTTATATAATGATTGAAATTGTTGTGAAATAAACAACTCGTTTTTTTTTTTTAAAATATTTATGAAAAAAAAAAAAAAAAAAAAATTGTTGGCTATAAAAAAAAAAAAATTAAAAAAAAAAAAAATTAAAAAAAAAAAAAAAAAAAAAAAAAAAATAAATATTTAAAATATCCAACCTAAAAATCAATCAAAAAAAAAAAAAGAAAAAAAATATTTGTAATAATGGCTGAACTTCCTACATACTATTTGGTTATAACCACACGCCACAAAACAAAATAAATAATCTCAATTTATTAATATTGAAACATTATTATAATTATATGTTTGATTATTAGAATTGTAATATATATATATATATATATATAAAAATATATGCATATTAGAAATGTAAATGTAAATGTTAATGTTAATGTTAATGTATGTGTATGGTTTTTATATGTGTATTATGTGTATTATGTGTATTTGTGCTATTTATGGTTAAACCGAGTCTATTTTTTATTCTTTATTTTTTATTTTTTATTTTTATTTTTTTTTTTATTTTTTATTTTTTTTATTTTTTTTATTTATATTTATTTTTTTTAAGATTGTTTATTTCTTTTTTAAAATGGATTAAGATATTGAATATAATAAATATGTTTAATAATAAATAATAATTATCAAAAGTAATGACAATGTAAACTTTAAAATTTTTTAAAAAATTAATTTTTTTTTTTATTTTTTTTTTAAAAATTTTAAAATTTTTTTTTTTTTTTGTATTTAAATTTTTTTTTAATTTTATTTTTATTTTTTTTTTTTTTCTTAACCAATATTTATATTTATATTAATTTATAGAGCGAATTAATTTAATAATAAATATACTCACCATTCCACAACCTTCACAAACACCAAAAACAATAAACCAAACAACACACACCAACCAAACAACGAAAACTATAATTTGAATAATTTGTTCACATTAACCACACAAACCATTCACACAAGATAATATTAAATAAAAAAAAAATAAAAAAATAAAAAACGAAAATGAGCAAAATTCAAAATTTCGAAGTGTATGTCAAATCAAACAATAATAATTATAAATTAAATAATAATAATTTATAATATTAATTATTTTATTTATTTTTAACATTTTATTTAGACCATCAGCAGTTTTACATATTAGATCAATTCCAGCAGGTACAACTGAGAATGATTTATTTCAAATTACATTCGATCAATCACACAAATTTGGAAAATGTGTTTCAGTTAGATTATTAGAAAGATATCACCAAGCACTTTTAGAAATGGATTCAATTGATTCAGCAACCAGACTTTTAAAGTACAGTCAAAAAAATTCATTACTCTTACATGGCAAACCAGTTCAAATTTCATATTCAAAGAGTCAAACTATTAATCAATCAAACTCATCATCACCAATTCACTCACCAGTTAACAGCTCAAGTCCATCATCAAGTTATCACCCACGTGTTAGTTCACCAACTTATACCACTACCTCATCCTCCTCACAACAAAATGTTTTCCCATCATCACCATCAACTCGTAACCATTCATTCCCTTCATCACCATCAAACAATAATAATAATACTACTACCAATAAAACAAGTAATGGCAGTAGCAATACACCACCAATTCCAGGTTCAGTTTTATTATGCACAATTGAAAGTCAAGCTAATCATTCAATTACTATTGATCATCTCTATCATGCATTTTCATCATGTGGTGAGGTTTTAAGAATCGTTATGTTTACTAAAAACAATTTACAAGCTCTCATCGAGTTTTCATCAGTTGATAATGCTCTCAATGCAAAGAAGACACTCTTTGGTCATGCTCTTTTCCATGGTGGTCAATGCAAACTTAAATTAGAAATCTCCAAAACTGATCGTCTTAATATTACACAAAATACTGATAGAGCTAAAGATTATACTAAATCATCCACACCTTCATCACAATCACCATCCTCATCTTCAACTACATCATCATCATCATCAACACCACACCACCAACAAACCCATCATCATCAAACACCATCATATTACCAATCACACCGTAGTAATGATCACCACCATCAATCACATCATGGTGGCAATAACCATTATAGCCAACGTGGTAATAACAGCAATGATCATCACCATCACCATGCACCAACAAGTTATCATCAACAAACATCACACCATCACCATAACCCACATAATAGAACTACAGTTTTAATTGTTCATGGTCTCGATGAAAACATTATGACCATCGATCGTATTTTCAATTTATTTAGTGTTTATGGTAATGTTCAAAGAGTTAAAATTCTTTCAACTAAAAAAGGTGCAGCATTGGTTCAAATGGAAGATCCACAACAAGCAGAACTTATCATTAGATTCTATCATCAAATGCCACTCTTTAAAGATACTCTTCAAATCACTTATTCTAAACATCTATCAATTACAGACTCACATAACCCAGAATCTCCATCTCTTTCTAAAAACTTTTCAGATTCTTCATTACATCGTTTCTCACATCCAATCAACACTTATAAACACCTCTACAAACCATCACAAACATTATACTTTTCAAATGTACCAAAAGATTTCACAGAGGCTAGTTTCATCCAACTTTTACAATCACACAACTTACCAAAACCAATTGGTTTCAAGATTTTCTCTACTCAATTATTAGGTGGCTCAGGTTCACCAACTACTACCACTACATCTACTACCACTGCTACTAGTTCAAATACTACCGCATCTGTATCACAACCACCAGTTGCTAATGGTACCAATGCAGCACAACCATCATCTTCAACTTCATCAAGCACCCCAGAAAATAAGAATACAGATAAAATTGTTGGTCTTTTAGAGTTCCAAACCCAAACACAAGCAGTTGAAGCCTTGGTTTTATTAAATAATTTAGTTCTTCCAAACTCTAATTATTCACTTCGTCTTTCATTCTCAAACTCTACCGTTTTACCACATCCACCAAAAGTTAATTCAAACCCAAATACCCCAAACAATAATACTCCAAATAATAACATCAATAATTCACCATCAACCCAGTCACCACAACCTCAACAATCATCGCAACAATCACAAGCATCACCACAAACAAAACATTTTTAAAATAATTAATTAAAAATTTAATAGTTTAATTATTAATTATTTAAATTAAAAAAACAAAAAAAAAAAAAAAAAAAAAGAAAAAACACTCATATAAAATTCTTAAAATTAATTAATTCATTAATTAATCAATATAACAATACAAAATTAAAATAAAAAAAAAATAGATTAGTTAAAAATAATTTTAACTTTTATTAATGGCATTAATAAAATATAATATTTAAAACCTAATACTTTACAAATAATTAAAAATTTTTTTTTTAAAATTTTTTTTTTTATTTATATTTTAAACAATATATTTAATATTAAATGACATATAGTTTTTAATAAAATTCATTTTTTAATGATATTAAGGTTATAGATAGGCGAGTTGTTATTACATGAGATTTTTAAATTATGATTATTAAATTATTTTTTATATTTCCTTAGAAAATTAATGATAATAAAATTGAAATTAAGATTAAAACAACACCAGATTTTAATGAAGATGCACTACCTTCAAAAGTTGAATTGGTATTTTTGGTTACAATATAGTCAGTTATATTGAATGGTTGGTGGTCCCAGAGATCATTTTGCATACCGAATGAAATTTCAATTTTATTTGGATTATCTTCGCAATAGCTAAAATTAAAAAAGTTAGAATTAGTTTTTTTTTTTTTTTTTTTTTTTTTTAAATTATTATTACTCACTTTATAATGTAAAGGTATGAATCAAAAATATCTTGAATTGAGGTTAGGTCAAATTTCTTTTCAAAGTTTGGATAGTAACGGATGTAAATACTCTCTTTTTTACCAGTGTAGAATAAACCGTCAGTTGGTGTAAAGTTTAATTTTTCAATATAAAAGTTTTTATCGAAACCAATTTCTTCTAATTTACGAATTGATTCAGTGTTGTTTTGTAAATCGCATGGAGAAATTCTAATATTAAAATCACCTTGAGCAAACAAAGTCTTACCCCATGCACATTTGCTGTGAAGGGCATATTTATCTTGATTACGACGAGATTGTCTGAAACCTGGGTTAAAATCACATTTGTAGCCAACTTGTGGTTTGATTCTTGCATAAATTACTGGTTCAAATACATTTGGATCACCAAATACACCATTAGCAGGTTTCATAAATCTTGAATAGGATTCTATCATGTCTACTGGTTTATCTACACTTGTATCAATGTCATAAATGGTAGAGAAATCAACACTTGCATATATTTCTTCAGCATTGTAGGTAATTGATTTGTTTGAATATACTTGTAAGCAATCAACTTCATAAACGAAACGAGTCATTTCTCTTTTTTGTGTTGGTTGGCAATTAAAGTTAACTGGATAGTTGAATACTACATCTCCACTAAAATAAAGTTTTGCTCCAAAAGGAAGATTTAAAAAATCAGTTGATATAAATCTATCTTGAGTGAAATAATATTCTAGTGTTGATAAATTACAGGAGGATGCCATTAAACCTGCAACTTCGCATGTTGTACCATCACCTTGACCATATATGGTACTATTTATTAAAATTACAAATATAATTAATGTTATACATTTAAAACAATTTTTACTTAGTTTCATTTTAAATAGTTTATATTATTATTAATACTATTTTATATCTTTTTTATTATTTTTATTCTTTTAATATTATTTTATTATAAATCTAAAAAAATTATTATTATTATTATTAAAATTTAAAATTCAATATTTTTATTATATTTTATATTTTTAAATAATTATACGAGGTAAATAATATTAAATTTATTTTAGTAAAAAAAAAAAAAAGAAAAAAACAAATTTTTATTTTTAAAATTAATTTTTTGTTATTTTGATTTAAAAAATAAATAAATAAATTAAAAAATTAATTTAACTTATTTATATACAGTTTATAACAATAATGTTATTTTATTTATTTTATTTTTTTTAAAATAGAATTTAATTATTATTATTATTATAGATAAAATTATATCTATTAATAAAGTGCACTATTTTTTTTTTTTTTTTCTTTTTTTTTTTTTGTATTGGATTTAGATTAATGAAATATAAGCGTGTGTGATATTTTAGAGAGTGTGTGTTTGTGTGCACTAGTGGTTATGTGATACTAAGTTATTCTTTGTTTAAAAAAAAAAAAAAAAAAAACTAAACAAAATAAACATAACAAAACAAAACAAAACAAAAAAAAATTTAATTATATTAGGGAATATAAAAAGAAAAATTTAATTTTAAATATATACATATATGCATATATATTGAAATGATTGAATCAATTATGTTTTTAGTTAGGGGGTGTTTTTTTTTTTATTATTATTTTTTTATGTGAAAAAATAACATACACAAATTTAGTAGTTATATTGGGTTTATATTTTGGATATATATTGAATATGTGGTAACCTTAAATTTGTGCGAATTTAATTATTAAATATTTTTTTAAAATTTGTAGTAGTATGTTAATATTGAGTAGGTAATTTATTTGTGTAAGAAGGTGGGTGTTTGTGTGCTCTTAGTTTTTAATATTATGTTTGTTTTTCTAATTCAAGTGGTTACTTTTTTTAAAATTTTTTTTTTTTAATAAATATATTTTTTTTTTTTTTTTGATATAATGATTATAACTTTCTTATATTATTAAATATACAATTTTTTTATAAAAACTATTAACAGTTCTAAAAAAGGGTATATAAAATTATCATAAACATTATTTATTCATTTTATTATTTTTATCAGATTGATGATAAAAAGTATATTTTAATTTTTTATATTTAAACATGTATTATTGTAATTTACATCAAACTGTTTTTTTTTTTTTTTTTTTTTTTTCTTAAAATTATATACGCATATATAAATAGTATATTGAAAATAACTTTTTATACTATTTAAATATCTTTGTAATTATCTATTTAAATGATTTTTATTATTTTTTTTAAATAAAACATAATGATCACACTAATGTTATTATAATTTTTTTTCAATTTTAAAAGATTGTTTTAAACTTTTAAAGAATAACATTTTATTTATTTTTATCTACTCTCTTTTATTATTTGTATTTAAAACCTTCTGTTTTAATTGTTTTACCATATATTGTTAAAATATATTTAGATTAAAGCAAATTTTAAAAAAATATAAAAATTAAATTTGTTTAAATCATAAAATATATATACTATTACTAAAATAATTTTGATTGAATCAATGAATCCTTTAATATAATATTATAAATTTAAACTCTTATAAACTAAAAAGGTAAGCACGCTTACACACACCAATAAATTAATAATTACATATATATTTTAAATAGATAAAAATAAACATAAAATTTTTAAAATTTCTTTTTTCTTTTTTATTAATGGTAAAATAATTTTGTTTTAAATGATTAAATCTATTCTTTATTTATTAATAATAATCCGTAAATAGAATTATATTTTTATGATTAAATTTAATTGAGTTTTTAATATACAAATTATTATAATAATCAATTTTATTACCAAAATTTATATTTTTATTTTTCTTTTTTATAATATTTTATTTTTTTTTATGATGGATTAATTTGATTGCATTAATTTGTTGTTACTTTTTTTTTTTTTTCTATATTTATCATTGTGTTTAGACAATACTTAAATAAAAAACAAATAAAAAATTAAAATTGAATTATATTTCTTTATTATAAAATATTGATTATTATATTGAATCTATTAATACTTTAGTACAACCAAATGATAGAAAATAAATAAAAATTAAGATAATAAAACAAAATCAAAAACTTGTTTTTATTAACATCATTTATATCGTTATAAAAGTATCATAAATGAACATATTATAAATATTTATATTTATATTTATATTTATATTTATAGAAATAATGGTTGTAGTAATTGATTAAATTAAAATATATATATAATTGATCAGAAATTTAAATATATCCAATATTTTAAAAATATAAATTATACAATTCCAAAATAATATTTAAATAAAATAACTACTCTTTTTTTGTTTTTTTTTTTTCTAAAATATGTACATTTTATTCTTAAAATATATGTATATGAAAAGAAACTTGGATTGCTGTTGGTTATGGGTGGGGAATTATACTACATATATCTTCCAATATATAATATTATAAATTTGTGTTGTTATTGTATTGTTATGTTATTGTATTTGGTTTGCTGTTTTTTTGTATAATGTATAGTTGAAATCTAAATTAATTTAAGCTTTGCCAACAAAACCTGGGAAACATTCTTCGAATTTATTCTTTGGGTGTTTGTTTTCAGAGTGAATTTTGAGTTCACTTTCTTTGGCAGTACATAAGAAACTGGTTCTACAAATGTTACAAATAGTAGTTTTGGCAGCTTCATTAGCTTTTAATTGACTTTTACCACCACCTGCACCTTCTTGTCTTTTAATATTTCTTTCTCTTTTTTGTTGAGCTCTAGCACCGTTTCCTATAAAATAGAATATTTTTATATAAAGAAGAAAATAACAAAATAGAAAATATGATTAGTATATTTCTTTTTTTATTTTCCAATTGTTCTATATTTATAATTACCTGATGGCATTTTGATTAGTTGTGTAATGTAAATATAGTGTGAAGAAAAAAAAAAAGAAAATTTTAAAAAATTTTTTTAAAAAATTTAAAAAAAAAAAAAAAGAAATTTTTAAAAAAAAAAAAAAAAAAAAAATAAAATAAAAAAATAATATATTTGGGAAAAATATTATAATATATAACGTCGTTATAAAATATATTTTGAGATTTGGATATTAAATAATCAAAAATATTTAATATCGTTAATTTGTTTTTGTTATATTATTTTTTATTTTTTTTTTTTATTTTTTTTTTTTAAAATTTAATATCTTTAAGTGCGACATTATCAATAGTAATTTCTTCATCAATTATTGGAGACATTTCAATATTACTGATTCCATGGTTTTTTTTTATGTCCACATTTTTATTGTTATTGTTAATGCCATTTTTATTGTTATTGTTGTTGTTTTTATTTTCTTCTTTATTATCATCATCTTTTTTATTGTCATTACTATTTTCGATACCATCTTCACTATTTTCATCTTCTCCATTAAAATTAAATTTACTATTTGTTTTTTTAAATTGCTTTTTCTTTTGATTTTTCTTTTGTAACTCTTCAATTTCTTCTTTTTGTTTCTTCATTGATTCTTCTAAAAATAATATTGTATTTGGTGATGTCATTAATATATTGGGGCACTGTTCAACTGAATCTATGTTAACATGAGAGAATATAATTCTCTGAACCTGATCTTTTTGGTAATCTAAATGTGATGTTATAATTGAGCTGACATCAACATCTTCAATTAAATCTAAATAGTATTTGTTGTTTAATTCCTTTAGTTCGTTATCCTTTAAATTCTTTTTATTAATTTTGAATGATGATTCAGCTTTTAGTGATACTATATTGATTTTTTCTGTTGCTTTAGTTGTGGTTGTAGTTGAGGTTGTTTTATTATTTGATTCTTTTAAACTATCATCTTTTGAATGATTATTAAATTTAAATTTAAATGGAAATATATTCGTATTATTACTATTACTAATATTAGTACTATTATTACTATTATTGCTATTATTTATATTACTATTATTAATATTGATAGTTGGTTGGCTTTTTTTAATTGGTGAGTATCCAATGGCATCAAGTGATCCACCTTCATCGGTTAGGTTATTTGCTTCATAAAAATATTTTAATAATATATCATTTGGTGAATAACAATTTACAACTCTACCAGACACAATTTTCCTTATTTTCTTCCATTTTTTACTATCATTAGGACAACAACCGCCTATAAAGAGTACATTTTCGACCACACCATATGCTTTTTGTTCTATTAGGGAGCAGAGACAATAGTAAATAATTCTAGCACCCATTGAAATACCAACCAAAGTTATCGGACGACTTCCAAATGATTTGTTTGTTAAAATTTCTTCTGCTAATAGCTTACCAGCTTTTTGTGCTCTATCTTTAACTTTACCCCAATTTGTACTGATAATAGAACCTGCTTCTAAAAGAGATGCTGATGGTAAAATTGCATCATGCATCATCTTAATTGCAAACTTATTAAAAGTAGAATTATCTTCGACCTTTAACTTGTATTCATGCAGTGATTTGTAGAGTGAGTATAATAGTGATGTTTCCCATTTAATTGAATAAACTTCGCCCAAGCACAGTATACCAGAGAATAAATTTGATTCCCAACGAGACAAATCTTCATTACCAGTTTTTTCTTGAACCCAACCTAATGCACCAATCACAACATTTAAACCAAATGACCCATTGACTTTTCTAAATTCAAACTCATTTAGACCTGAGGTATGCTTTGTCATTCTAGTGGCCGAGATTGTAGCACCAGTAGCACCAAATAATATGGTAGATACGGTAGTACCAGTTAAACCAGTCATTGAAATTGCTGATAGTATACCCATACCAATTGCACCGTGCAATGCGGCACCAATTAAGGGTGCCGCCACTAAACCACCCACTGCCAATAAACCACCACCAGCAATAGTTGCCAATGCAATTTTTAGTGCTCTATTATTTGACCTTGTTCTTTCAAAGACATTAATGATATTCTTTTTAATAATTGATTGATTGCTATCTTTGGATTTATCTTTATCTTTACTGTGTTGATGCTCTTGTTCTTGCTGTTCTTGTTGTTGAAGTTCTTGTAAAAGTTTTTGGCTAAGAGTATTCTCTAATAACAATAATTTTAAACCAAGTGTTGATGGGTGTAGTTTTAAAGCAAATCTTTTTAAAGCAGATCTAACAAATGCATTATAACCATTAGTAATTGCCAAAGATGTAATGTTTGATAATATCTCATCAGAGTTTTCTAAAATATCTTGAATTAATGGTTCATCACTATCATCGACTTCATACTGGTATTCGTCCTTATCTTGATCATTATTATTTAATAATGGGTCGGAAATAATTTCTTCTTCTAATATTGAGGAATTAAATATATTCTTTTCTAAATTATTAATTATACTATTATTATTTATATTATTGTTTGGGATGGAGTTGTTAATATTTATATCATTGTTTATATTATTATTATTACTACAATTATTATTATTATTATTGTTGTCATTATTATTATTTAATATTGAATCTTTATTTCCTTCTTTTTTTAAATCTTTATCATAATCTGAATTTAAATATAAATCTTTAAATTTTGATTCGATGTAATCCGTTGCCATTTTTAATGAGATGAAATAGTAGCCTTCTTCTGATACCATTAAGTCACCTGCTCTGAATAATTCAATAAATCTAAAAATTAACAAAATAATTTGGTTAAATTAAAATTAAAAAAAAATAGATTTTAAGATAAAAAATTATAAAATACATACTTTAAATTTGAATATAAATACGAAGGGTTGGTTTTAATGGTTAAATAAATCAAGTAACCAATAAATTCATCGGCACCAAAAGATCCATACTTTGACAAGCCCTTGGAGATATGTCTACATGCACGAAGAATACACATTATTTTATCTCTTGGGTTTTCGTGAAGGTTTATTGTGGAGAGATCGGTAATGGCTGCATCCCAATTAATTGATTCTAAAACTTGAGGTTTTACATCGATGTGGTTTAAAATTGGTTGGGTATCTCTTGTGAATGCTATAATTCTTTTTAGTTGATCATCTTTGCTTTTATTGATCGGGAATATTTGACCAAAAATATGAATTAAAATGAAAGATTCTATAGCTTCACTCATCATACCTGTTAGATTATCCTTTGGAAATAATGAAACCAATTGATTTAGTGATGTGGATATTTTTTTTTGAAATGTTTCGCCCAGCTCATCAATATAGTTTTCAAATTTTTGATCATAGCTATTATTTAATTGTTCCTCTTGATTGTTCGATTTAGATCTTTCTCTTTCTTGGTTTGACTCCAAAACATCTAAAAAATTTTGCAATTCTTTTTTTAATATACTACAATATTGCTCTAAATCACTTAAAATTGCTATACCTTCTTTTGTTGTTGATAGTTCATTTATAAATTGTTTATTATATAATTCAAAGTCATAGTTAAAATCCAATATTGATTGTTGTGGTTGTTGTTCGTTGAGGTTTTTGGTATTATTACTATTATCATTATTTTTATTATTTAATTTATTTCTTATATTTATTTGCTGTTGTTTTTGTTGTTGTTTTTGATATAAATAATTTAGCTGTGAATGGGTTTCATACAATTGATTAATTTGATAGTTTGATAAATGATAAAAATCAAAAGTGGATTTTAAAAAGTTATTAACCTCTCTCAACTTTAAATCGTTTTCTGAAAAACACCAAAATAATAATGACACTACTAAAAACCCAACATTGCTTCTATTTATATCATCTTTGTTAATATTAATATTATTATTATTATTATTGTTGTTATATATTGAAAGCCTATTTGATAATTTTTTTAAAGAATTTATCATTTTAATGATTTGTTTTTTATGTTTTTTATAACAAATAAAATTAAAATTATTAAGTATTGTTTATCATAATATAAAAAATTTTAGATATTAAGTATTTGAAAAAAATTAGAAAATAAATTAAAAAAAAAAATTTTAAAATTTAAATAAAAAATAAATTTAAAAAAAAAAAAAAAAAAAAAAAAAAAAAAAAAAACCCCAATTTTTTTTTTCCATAAAAAAATCACTTTTTTTTTTTTTTGGTTTTTCACAAAATTCCTAATATTTAATAATTGGTCCCAAAGGGGGAAATTTAAAAAAAAAAAAAAAAAAAAAAAAAAAAAAAAAAACCAAATAATTTATTTCATTAAAGAATTATCTTTTTCTTTTTTTTGTTATTTACTATAATTCTTATTATTTATTATTTGTATCAAAATGAGTAAATTTAAAAATAAAATAAAATAAAAGAAATAGAAGGATGTTGAATTTAATAAAGAAAGGAAAAATAAATATATATTTGTATTTATAAGAAATTTGAATTTAAAATAAAATAATAAATAAAGAGATATTATATATATATTTTTTTTTTATTATTTTTTTAAAAAATTAATTTTTTTTTATTTTTTTAATTAAATTTTTTTTTTAAATTTTTTTTTAAAATTTTTTTAAAAAATTTTTATTTTTTTTTTTAATTTTATGTTTGTGTATATTTTTTTAATTAAATTTTTTTATTATTTTTTTTATTTTTATTTTTTAAATATATAATTAATATATTACAAACACAAACATTATATCATAGTAGATATAAATATTCACACCTACACATTCAATCTTATACAATCACTTTATTTACTTATTTTCAATAATATCATATCACATCACACCATCACTTCACCAATCAAATAATTAATTATTTAATTAATAATAAATAAAGTTACAAAAAAAAAAAAAAAAAGGTTAGGGAATTTAAAAATAAACAATTGTAAATCCATATAATATAATAGTATAATGACAGAAAGAGAAAGAGACATTCGACATTTTGTTGATTATTTAAAGGCTAACAATGAATATAAGGATTCAATAAAGGTTGTGGATTTCCTTTTTGAGCAATTAAAGAATGATGACAATTTTATTCATAATTTCGAAAGGTTTTCAGAATTCATTGAAGTTCTTTGGTTCAGAGTGTAAGTACAAAATATACATTTATAATATTAAATTCGAAAATAAATAAATAAAATAAATTTATTGATAAATATATAAATATATAAATCAACAATAATCAGTATTTTATATAACTCTACTATTTTTTCAAAGTATAAACTAACTTTAACTTTATTTTATTTCTTTTTTTTTTCTCCAAAAAAAATAAAATTAAAAAATTCAAAAAAAATTCAAAAAAAAATTTTAATATATTTTCAAAAAAAAAAAAAAATAAAAAACCCTTTTCTTTTTAATTAATACACAGAAATCAATTTCATAATCAAGATTTCATTTCAAAGGTCGATCAATTATTCAAAGTTATTATTTCCATCATATTAAATAAATTAGAGACAGAAGATTTTTCCACAGAGAACCTTAAAACTCTAAATTTAATTTTTTCACCAAAAACATCGCAATATCGTGAATACAGATATCAAGACAATGAAAACGATTTACCAAATAAACTTGCAACTCATGAAGCTATTGATTTTTATAGTAGAGATGGCTTAATGCATTTAATTAACAGGGTTAAAGATACTAAATATTCTTTTGAAAATATTAAAAAATTTGTTAATACTATTAAAAAAGTAATTTTAATCATAATAAAATAATAATAATAATAATAAATGATATAATTCAAATACTAATTATTTTATTTTATAGTTATCAAAAAAGGTTGAAAAAATCGATTTATCTCAAATTAATATATTGGTTAAATTGGTTTTTGATAGAATTTTTAGTGCCACTGATGAAGAATTTAAGAATGAAAATAAAAAAGATTTAGATTTAATTATAAAACATTTATATGGTATTGTAAATAATATTAATGCAGATACTACCAATCTTCAAGAATTGATTCATAATAATGGATTACAAGTATCATTAAAGTGCTTTAAATCACCATCCCTTTTCCAAAGAAACGCTGGTTTAAATGATATTATTAGATTTTGTAAATCTGAAAGTCCATTGCCAAGACAACTACATCATTATGTCCCACCAAAGTAAGCTTTATTTTTTTATTTTATTTTATTAAATTACATAAAATATTAATTATTTTTTTTCTTAAATTAGTAAAATCGTAGAATGGTTAAAAGAAAATAATGTTATTGAATTACTATATGGTGAAACTATGCATATTCAATTATTACAAAAATGTACAGATATTTTAAAATTTATTGCAGAGCAAAAGGCATTTGATAGAAAGTATTTAGATTTAATATGGAATGCAAGTGAAGGCAAACACGAAACTATTGAAAATGCAATTTATGAAACTATTGGTAGTATCGCACCGCTCCTCCCTCCAGAAGATGTAGATTATCTTTTTGAAAAAATTCAATTAATTCCATTTAGCCATTATACTGTACAAACATTACACTTAGTGCGTTCACTTACACAAAGAATATCATCAGATGCTGATTATATACCAAAGGGTTTGGAAATATTTTGGAATTTAATTCAAGACGAATGTGATATAAATTTAGAGCTTTCAGAAATGTCACTCAATATTCTTCAAGATTCCATTCACTATTTCCCACGTCAAAGAGTCGAGTACTTAAAGAAATGTATAAAGAACATCGAGGATCATCATTCAGTCATTCTTTCTCTTCGTTTGCTTTATCATTTAATTGGTAGCTTAGCCGAAAGAAAAAAGAGAAATCAAATGGGTGGTATGATGATGATGAACAATAACAATAATGACAACAATGAAAATGAAATGTCTCAAATCATCGAACAAATTGACAATACTTACCACTTGGTCGAGCTTTTATACAACCATTTAGTCTATTATAACAGAATATGCCTCGATATCCTCAAAGAGAAATATAGCCAAGTAATGAACTTAGATAATACTGCCTCTGTCATCCCACTAACTTGTGACGAAATCATTTTCACTGGCCGTTATCCAAATTTCAGTCAAATTCATGACTCTTTAAATTTTATACGTTTTATCTATGAAAAATCACCAATTCAAATGAGCCAAAAGCATGTTGATGTTCTCTGGGATATCTTTGTGGTTTCACCAATTTCCATTCAAGATAGATCAACCTTTTTCAATTGGACAGTCGAGTATTTACAATTTGACGATGAACAAGTTTATCATTTTATGGAAAAGTTTCATTTACTTCCATTTAATGATTTAGATTTATCAGGTTTCAATTTTTATACTTTTTGTATGAATTTAATTAAACAAAATAATAATAATAATCAATATAATAATAATAATAATAATAATAATAATCAACAGCAACAAACTACAATTGTCGGCTTAGATGATTTATGGAGAGTCCTAATCGAAGCTAGAAATGAAGAGGTTGGTAGAGCTGCTTGTACATTTTTAATTGAACAATATAAAGAATTTAAAAACCCAAAAGAATTTTTAAATACCTGTATGCATAAACTTTCAACTGTTCCTATTCAAAATAATGGCACTTCCTTAGATCAAGAGTTATTGGTTCAACGTTGTTTATCTTTAATTAAAAGATATCTCGAAGATTTTGGTTCAAGAATTCCAGGCAGCTTCAAGAGACTCTTTTCGCCTTTAATTCAAATTCAAGTTAAAAATCAAAAACATTCATTCAGATTAGAAGTTAAGAGTAGTGAGTCAATTAAAACTATAAAGGATATTATTGCTCACAAGCTTGGAAAAGATAACTCCTCATGTATATCATTAACTTTCCAAGCTAAACACTACTTTGAAGATTTTGAAACTTTAGAAGACATCCGTGTAACAAATGGTGATACAATATTGTTCCAAGAGACTTCCGAATCAAAGTGTAACATCGTTTCTACAATTAATTTAGATTTTGATCAAAACCATTTTTCTTTGTTATTCAATTTATTAAATATTCAATCAATTGCTCAAGATGTTTGGGATCTTTTAATGTTATTACCAGCCAACAGACAAATTTTATTAGATATCCAAAATATATCACCAGTAGCCGAAGGTGAAGCATCAAATATTATAAAGAATTGGGATAGTTTATTTGATCCAAACTCATCATACCGTTTATTATACAGCTTATTAATTATTGAGGCATTAATTGTTCCATCGTCATTCGATCAAATACAAAATAATATTCCAAACCAATGGAAACATGACTTTATTAGCCAAGGTGGAGCAGCCCATTTAATTAAAATTTTAATGACCTCAGATCTTCAAAATGTTTCACGTGGTAATAAGAGAAATATTTGCTTATCAGTCTTATTAAGAATCATTTATAATATTTTAGAAATTGATAACTTTTCTGCTGAAAGTATTCAAAAGTATGTTAATCCAAATGAATTATTACATCGTTTAATTGCATTAACTTGGAATCAAGTCGAACCAACAATCCACGAAGAAAATCTTTCAACTCACGAAACTGAAGATGCTATGGTTGTATCACATTTAATTGGTCTCATTGTTGCTATCCTTAGAAACAGTGAAGCTTTATTTGACTCATTTACTCAAAATAAAGATATCTTAAATTGGATTTCTTTAATTTGTTTATTATCAAAAGATACCTTTATCCGTGACAAAGCTACCAATGGCATCAATGAAATTTGTAAATCTATCAATCCATCTAAAACTAAGCCATACTTTTTAGAACAATTCCTTAAATTACTTTATACCACAATCGAACAAGATCGTCGTTCATCAAGCTGTCAACAATTCTTTGAAGTATTATGTTCACTATTACAAGATACTTGCTCTCAAGAGGGCTCTGATCGTTTCTCCGATTTACTTGGCACATTAATTCAAATGATTAAAACTCAACCAATAGTTGAAAGTACAGCAATTTACCAATCTGATGTTCTTTTAATGGGTCTTTTAAATCTTGTTAAAATTCTCATTGAAAATAATAATGACTTTAAACTTATGGCTGGTCAAGAGGGTGGCTTAGTTAAAGAAATATTCCACGAATGCCTTTTCAACATTGCAACTGCCGAAAACCATGGACCAACTTGCCCACCAAAATGTAAAACTAGAGACAGTAGAGATGTTTGCTTTGCTGTACTTTTAGAGTTGGCCAAAGGTTGTCCAGAAAACTTAAAAGAGATCACCACCCTTTTAATGGATCATCATAAACCAGAAGAGAAACGTAGTCTTTGGAGTTACTATCCCGCTGGTAATGAAAAATCTACTTGTGGCTATGTTGGTCTTAAAAACTTGGGTGCTACTTGTTATATCAACTCATTAATGCAACAACTTTTTATGATTCCAGGATTCCGTTATAATATTATTCAATCAGAAGAGAAATCATTAACTCCACAAGATCAACAAGAAAGTCTTTTGTATCAATTGAAAATTATTTTTGCAAATCTCCAAGAGTCTGAAAAGAAATCACACGATCCAAAAGATTTCTGTTTAGCTTATAAATATGATGGTCAACCAATCAACACTTCAATTCAAATGGATGCTGATGAATTTTTCAATATGCTTTTCGACAAATTAGAAAACCAATTAAAAGGTTCAACTCAAGAGAAACTTTTACAAGACTTTTTTGGTGGTAGTAGCGTTAACCAATTCATCTCCCAAGAGTGTAATCATGTATCTGAACGTGAAGAGCCATTCTATACAATTAGTGTCGAAGTAAAGAACAAAAAGGAAATTCAAGAATCTCTTCAACTTTTTGTTGAAAGTGAAACTTTGGATGGTGATAATAAATATTTCTGTAGCAATTGTTCTCAAAAAGTTAAAGCCCTCATGAGAAGATGTATCAAGAATCTTCCAAATACTTTAATTATTCACAACAAGAGATTCGAATTTGATTTAGATCTCATGAAAAGAACTAAATTAAATGATGCACTTCGTTTCCCAATGACTATCGACATGGAACCATACACCAAAGAATACTTGGAAAGAAAAGAAGCAGTAGAGAAAGCCAAAGAAAAAGGTGAACCAATCCCAGAATATGCTCCACTACACCCACCACAATACTATCAATACGAGTTGGCTGGTATTTTAGTTCATACTGGCACTGCTGATTCAGGTCATTACTATTCATATATTAAAGAACGTGAGCCACTTAATGATGGTGAACCACGTAGATGGATCCTTTTCAATGATCAAGCTACTGAAGTATTCAATCCAGAAGAAATTTCAAAAGCATGTTTTGGTGGTTATGATCAAATGGAACAAGGTAAATCAAATTTCCGTTCTGGACCAAGAGTCAATAATGCCTATATGCTCTTTTATGAACGTAGTTTTATTTCTGGTGAATTAACAAAGAAATATGAAACCATTAGCCCATCAAATGCTTCAAAACTAGTGCCAAAGGATATGTTTTCAAGTGTATGGAAAAAGAACATGAAATTCCTTAATGATAAGAATATTTTTGATCCAAATTATTTCCAATTCTTATTAAATATCATAAAATTAGAAGATGAAGGTTTAAACAGAATGGACTTTACCTCATCACAAGAATTATTAAAAGAAAAATCATTAGATGTTATCGACGTAGACGAAGAAGATAAAAAACAACAAATACAGGCTCAATCAAGACAACAATTACAATCATCAAATGATTCATCAATATCCTTTAATCAACAAATGGAGTCAATTGAATTAGGCACTAGATTTTTAATTGAAACTTTATTCCACGCCAAAGACAAAAAAATATTACAAGAGACAGTAAACTATTTAATTTCTCTTTATGAAAGAAATATTGAAGCATGTTATTGGCTTTTAAATACAATTATTCAAGACTCTTCATGGATTAGACAAATATTTTTAACTTGTGTTACCTTAGATCCAAGAGAATCAATGATGAAGCTTTTATTATCAGTAATTAAAATTTTACAACCTTACGAAAAGAATAATTATGGTTTAGAAGAGGATAACTCTATGGAAGAAGCATCATCAGAACAATTTATTAATGGAAGTGGGTTAAGCACTATTGGTGGCCTTGGTAATAGTGGCGCCTCAGTTGAAATCATTGGCTCTAGTGGTGATGGATCATCAATTATCGCAACCAAAGGAAAACAAAAAGCATCAAGCCAAATGGTATTAGATGACGAAGTTTATCCAAATTTCTCAGATCTTAGAAAACCAAAATCTGTCATCTTTAAGTTTATGGATTGTTTCTTAGAATACATTAAGGAAGCACCAATTCATTGGAAACATTTCTCCCATTACTTTATGTTTATCAAAGAGTTTGCAACTTTAGGTGATGAAGAAAGAAGATATTTGGTCGAAAGAAATGTAATTGGAAGATTGATTGATTTCTTTTTGGGAGATGAATCACCAATTCCAAGACATCCACCACACAAGAAAACTAAAATGGGTGATAAATATAACTCTCCTCAATTCACTTATGCTTTAGAAGCCATTAGTATTCTCGTTCGTAGTTGTCATACTAAATATTCTATCCAAGTACCTCCAGGTGAACCAATATATATGCCAGAGCAAGTTTCAACCCAATTAATTGTTATGCCCGAAAATGATATGGAAATCTTATATAATCCACTCTTTTTCTCTAAAGCAATCAAAGATCAACTCTTGATGAACTCTATCAAAGAAATTATCTCTTATATTTGTTTCAATGATATCGATACCACCCGTTCTATTATTAATCATTTAGAATCTCTTGATGCCAATAGAATGTCACTAGAAGTTTTGCTCCCATTAATTTCTCTCGACGATATCTATAAAGATGATCGTGTAGACCTCGCAATTATTCCATACATTAATATTTTAGAAGAAAACTTTAAATCACGTGCAACTCTTTCTTTCCTCAAGATATTAGTAGAACATGCTATTCAATATCCATTTGTTTCACAGTGGTTTGAAAGAAATCTCGATCGTTGGGCTTCAAGTTGGTTAATTGGTAATGAACATCCAGAAGTACGTTTAGATGCCTATAGTCTATTAATTCATATAACTGGAATTCAAATGCAAACACCAAAACCCGATGTTATTCATAATATCTTTTTCTATTTCCTCTCCATAGATACACTCAAATATGCTAAAAAGATTGCAAAACGTGAAAAAGATCACCGTGGTATCTTTAGATTCGAATTATATTTCAAGTTTTTAAGAAATTGCATCACTGCTCTCCCAGAGTGTAAAAAGAATTTCACAATCTCAGCTACTCAATTTTATAGTCTTATGAATGAAATTATTTTCCAACAAAACGAAATTGATAGAAATCGTCAAGAGCTCACCCATTTTGTTGTTGATGTCATCAGAGATAACCAAGAAAATATCCAACTTTTATTAAAAGAACAATTTACTCACAAACTAATGGATTATTTCATTAGTATCTCTTCAAGAGAGGATTTAAAACAATTTAATCAAAAGTCACTTCCATCATTCTATGAAATTCTCTATGTTTTATCAAAAGAAAGCAAACCATTTTTAGAGTATGTTCTTGGCCATCTAAATTTCCAATGGGCTTGTAAATTCTTATTATGTGAATGTGGTGATTATAATGATATTGCTACCTATTTATTCAAACTTTTAGAATTAATTCCTAGTGTTCCAAAATGTGCCTCTTCATTACTCGAAGGCTTTTTACAATTCCCAAACTTTTTCTATTATCCAAGCCATTCATTACAAGTAGTCAAACTTTTAATCCTTTCAAAGAAAGAAGCAGTTTGTTTCATTAACAATGGTGGTGTTCATATATTCTCCAAGTTTTTATCCAATACCAAAGATTTAACAGATCAATTAAACTACCTCCCAAAGACAGTCGATTTACTTTATTTCATTTTAACAACTATTCGTCAACAACCACAACAAACACAACCACAACCACAAATTGACTCTTCAGATGCTGCTGGTGAAGATAGCATTGAATCATCTTCTTCATCACAATCAGGTTTATCCATCCCAATGCAAGATCTTACATCAGATATCAAATATCTTCAAACTATTTTATTTGCTATAATTGAAACCAACAAAACTCTCTTCGAAAAAACAAGTAAATTCTTAAATTTCATTTCAAGTGAATCACCAGAAACAACAATTAGTTCTTTTGGTGAATATTTACTTAAATGGACCAGTAAAAAAACAAATTATTTCATTTTACAACAACAACAGCAACAACAACAACAACAACAACAACAACAACAACAACAACAACAACAACAAAATATAAATTCAATTAATTTAGTTGATGATCCAAGACAACAATCATATGGTTACCCACAACAATCTCAGCAACCAAGACCAACCTTTATTAATGATTTTGGTCTTTCAGAACAATTTTTAAAAGGTCTAGTTGAAATTGTTTTGATAGCATTACAAAATTCCCCAAACAATGACTCTAAGGGTTCAATCAACCTCGCCAAATTTATTAAAGAAATCTTTTCCTTTAATCAAGAACTTGCCTCTCCATTATTAATAACCAGTTTTACATACCTCAAATTAGAAGAAAAGAGATCATTGGTTGAATTTTGTATCCATAATAATATTATATGCTCTGAAATTAACACAAATTCAAGCGTAATCGATAATTTATACAACTTTATTAAATCATTTTTACAAGAAAAATCAAATGAAGAAATTGTAAATCATCTTTGCACTGAATTAGAAGAAAAAGTAACTACCGCTATCGTTTCAATTCAATCATTAGAATCTTTCACCATTGACAAAGAAATTGATACCCATCTATTTGTTTTAAACAATGCTCTAAGACAAATCGAACTCTACAGCTGTTCAAGTAATGATAAATCACGTCAATCTTTAAATAGTACAATGTCTGCTCTCAAACAATTTGCCGAAGATGTTTGTGGTAAAATACAATCAGAAAAAGCAAAATTATTTTTAACAAATTTCGAAAATTTATCACTTAGCAATACAAACTAATTAAAATAAATCATAATAAATAATAATAAATAATAATAAATAGTAATATAATTTTAAATAAAAAATAATTTAAAAAAAAACTAAAATTATAAATTTACTTTAATTATTATATTACTAACTGACAAACTAGATATTTAGAACAAACACTTTATAAATAAATATCAAATCTAATAATTATAATAACTAAATTAATTATAATAATAAAAATCAAAATTGGGAGGATATTATTTGGTTGTAAAAATTTTTGAAAACCCCCTCATGCCAATTAAAAAAATATATATTTATTTTTTTATTTTTATTTTTTTTTATTTTTTTTAATTTATTTTTATTAGTGGGTATTTTTTTTTTTTTAATTCTTTTATTCTCTTTTATTTTTTATTTCTATACCCAAATATTATAAACTAATATAGTAATTTTAATAAAATTTTTAAATAGATTTTTTTTTAAAAATAATAAAAATGATCAAGAATTATTTATTTATAAGAAATCTTGGGAGAATTTCTTACCCAAGATTTAATGATATAAAAAATGGTGTTTTCGAAGGAGAAAAAACTAATGGGGATATTAAAAATACACTTTTATTAGTGGAGCATTCATCACCATTGTTTACATTCCCCAAAAAAGATATCATTGAACAATCTGATGCATTATCAGAGGCAATGTTATCTTTTTCATCAAAACTTCAAAAAAATAATGATTTTAATAGTTTTAAAAAACTATCGAAATTAGGTTTCGATGTATGTACCGTAGAAAAAAGAAACAATGGAATTTTATGTTGGCATGGACCAGGTCAGCTCACTGTATATCCAATATTCTCAAATCAATATAAAATAGAGGAATTTACCTATAAAAAAAAATTAGAAAATGTTGTTCAAAAGACTTTAAAAGATTTACAAATAGACTCAATTATAAAAAATGACCAAATTATTATTAATAATAATCAAATAGTTGGAGACATTAAGATATTTAATAAGTAAGTATATTTTTTAAAAAAAAAAAATAATTATTTTTCATTTATTAATTTTATTTTTTTTTTTTTTTAAATTTTACAAAAAAAGTGAATTTAAATTACCGGGATTTTCATTAAATATCAATACAAATTTTGGAGATTTTAATGAAATAAAGAACTTGACATCAATTTCTAAAGTTACTAAGTCATACTCAATGTCTGTTTCTGATATTATTCCATTGGTCTCTAATAATTTTAAAAAAGAATTCAATTTTGATGTGGTAAATGATTTTTATTCATATTATGTATCACAATTAGAAAATCAAAATTCATTTGCTCATAAACCATCACCATTACCCACAAAAATAACAACAACAGCACCAACAAGTAGCTTATCAAATAATCTTGTTAAAAACCAAATATAACAATATTTTTCAAAATTTTATAAAAAAAAAAAAAAAAAAAATATGAGTTATAATATTTGTAAAAAATTTGTTATTTTTTATAAATTTGTATATAGAAAAAATAAAATAAAAAAAAAAAAAAAAAAAATCTTTTTTTAACTTGTTTAAATAATATCAACAATTATAATATTAAAAATTAAATTATTTAGATATATTTAACCTTTAAAAAATAAATTAACAATCTTATCATAAAATAAAATTTAAAAATGAAGGTAAAATTACCTTTTTTTTTTTTTTTGATACCCACACAAATAAAATGAAAAGAATGATAGATAAAAACAGATCCATTATAATTATTGTACCCATATTTTTTTAAAATAAATATTTTATTATAGTTTCTTTATAAATTAAGATATTTTTAATAGAGGCAATTCCAGATATAAGAGTAAAAATAAATTCACCATGTGTTAAAATAAATAATAACAATATTCATATTAATTTTTTTTTATTTTAGTGGGAAGATAAAAAAAAACGAGGTGGATGGGGTTAGATTTCCTTGTTAAAATTGTAAGCAGTAATTATCCAGTAGTGAATCAATAATAATTTTAAATATTGTAAAAATTATTTAAAATTCAATAAATTAATAATATTCATTGGAAAAATTTAAAATTTATTTTCTTCATTTAATATCTATTTTTAATGCAAGCATATTTTCGATATTGTTAAATTTAATACAGTTAATTTATTCATTTTGTTATTTATATTTTTTATTTAATTTAATTTTTTTTTTTTTTTTTTTTTTTTTTTTTTTGTTATAAATAGAAAATATTTTTTAATAAAATATTAATTAATTCAATTAAGTGTAAAAATATAAACAAATAAACAAATAATGGAACCAAATGAATATTTACTAAATAAAGAAAACATGACTGTACAATTCTCAAACAACTATAATTGGGAAAAGCAATTGGGTCCTTTAGAATACTTTTCATCTCCAGTGTATACCAGAGGCTCTCTTTTCTTTAAAGGTGAAATTGATTTGATGAAATTTATCAGATCAATGAGCTCCTCCTTTAACTATTTCCATCTCCTATTGTCTCATTTCTCCACTGATAAAAAAGGAAACATATGGGCCTGTAACTCAACAAAGAAAATAAACTCAACTACCAAAGAGCAATTAGAAATTGAATATATAAATGAACCAATGGAATCTGCAACATTTGAAAATACTTTACCCAAAAAAACAATCAAAGATGTATATAAACTTGGATTTGCCAAGGATTTAAATGGTATGGTAATGGCTGCTTTTAAATTAACAATTTTTAATGATGGTTTTTGTATTGGATATACTGTAAATCATTCATTTTTCGATCAAGCAAGTATTTACTACTATTTAAAATTTTTATCTCAGATCTATTCAAATGATGGTGAAAATTTAACATTTTTAAAACCACAAATATTTGATTCACAAAATTTTATAAACAACAAAGTTAAATTTGATGGAATTATTAATGCACGTGAATATGGTGATTCAAATTTTGGGTTTATATTTTACACAATGTCCCAAAAACCAAGTGAAGGAAGTATTGATATTAATTTTTTCCACAATACCACTATTGGGCTAAAGTTTGATTTGGAGGAAATCAATAAAATTAAATCAAAAAATTCAAACTATTTATCAACAAATGATATAATATCAGCAATTGTACTAAAAGTTTTAACATTAACAGAATTTTTAAAAGATAGTGATGATTTTACTCTCAGATATGTTTGCAACGTTAGAAAATATCTTGAAAAGGGTGAAGAAGCCATTGGAAATTTTGCTCATCACTGTAAAATGATTTTAAAGGTAAAGGAAATCAAAGAATCTTCAATTCTCGATTTAGCAAATATAGACCGTAAAAGTATATTAGGAATTCATGGAGATGATTTCAAAGACTCATTAAACTGGTACAAATATATGCAAGATGAAAAAGAAGTGGCACTCACATATGTTGGTAAACCATCATTTTATTCATCTCGTATTACAAACTGGACCAATTTTGATTATGATGCAGTTCAATTTGATAAGGTTTCTCCTCACTCAATAAAAACCCCATCGCTTGCAGGTTATGGTATTAATACAATTACATTTACTACAGAACATGGTAAAAAATATTTTACTACAGGTGTTTCAATTCCAATTGATTGTATGGAAAAATTAGATAACTTTGGGAAAACATCAAAACTTTTTTCAATTGATAACATTTTTAATTAATTGTTTATTACCTTTTAATACTAAATAACTTTTTAAATAAAAAAAAATTATAAAAATTATATATAATGATAAAAGTTTTTTTTTTTAAAAAAGATGATTTTTTATGATATATTATCGATATTTTTATTGTATTTGTTTTGTTTTTGGTATGTGTTTTATACTTTTATGAGTTTTACCACACTGGATACTGTAACTTTTTTTTTTTTTTTTTAAAGTGAATATGATACTTACTGATACAATAAGTCATAAGTATTTTTTTATTTAATTCCTAAATGAATATGAATTCTTTTTTTTTTTTTTAAAGTTTTTTTTTTTTTTAAAAGTGAAGATAATTAAAAGCAAATGCTTTAAATTAATCAGTAAAATTTTATTTAAATTTTTTTATAAAGTTTTTAAAGAAAATATTCTAAACTGTTGATATTTGGTAATGATTTGATGCTGATGAAGTATCCTCTTGCTATTCTTCTTTTGAATTTTCTATATTCTTCATTGATGTTGCTAATTGTTTGTGGTTGTTTAGCGTGTCTTTCTTTGATGTTTTTTAAACCTTTTATGTATTCTAAAGTAGCTAGCTTAGTCCATTTTGAGGTTAGATTCTTATAATCGAGTTCTTTTATTGTATTTTCTTGATCATGGTATAGTTCTTTACATAACCAAATCCAAACTTGATGAAATACCAGGGCTATGGCATTTCTATAAGCGAAGCATCTAGTTAAGTCGAAATCTATTGCTTTATAGTTCCATTGGAAGTGTGATTTGTGAAATCTGGTGTTGTTGTAATCCATATTTATTTCTCCATCGGATTTGCGACCTTCTGTGATTTTATATGTAATATTATTGATATATTCCTTTTTGGGCTTGTTATCTCAAGTGACCAATTGAAGCCCCTTCCTGAAGTAGTGAATATAAATGATTTTTTTTTTTTTTTTTTTTTTTTTTTTTTTTTTTTTTTTTTTTTTTTTTTTTTTTTAAAAAAAACCTTCCTTAAAAAAAAAAGGAAATTTTTTGGGGAAGGCCCCGGTTTTTTTTTTATTAAAAATATAAGAAGAAGTAGGGGTTGGGGTAAGGTTAGAATACCCTATCTAGTTTAAGAAGTAGTGAGGGTTGGGGTATGGTTGAATCAACCTATCTAGTTTTTTTTTTCTTGGATTTTTGTTCAATAGCAGGTGATTTCGGACTACCTGATTGGTACGTAGTGGATTTGATTGGCGTGGATATTTGGCTAACATTTCAAGTACAGTTACTTTTTGTAGTGGTATTCGTATTTGTTATGGCGGTTTCATTTTTGGAACTTTGTGAAGTTAATCTTGTAAAGATGTTGTTTAGTGTGTTAACCCTGGATGTTCTTAAGTGTGGAAAAGATGTGTTGTTGTTTATCTTTTCAAGATCTGTCGAATGGTGTAAAAATCAGTCGGTAACTATAAAAAGTTCGATTTTATATGATGTTAACACTTGTCGGTTTTTTTCCTTTAGGTTTAATGTATTCATATGCATTTTAGAATTAAATGAATATTACAGTCAACTAAATAATATATTTATATTTTCCTTTATTTTTTTACATTTGAAAATCACCGAAAAGATAATCTTATTATAAGAGCTCCCCATTCGGGAATCGAACCCGAGGTACCAGTGTGAAAGACTAGAGTGTTACCGACTACACCAATGAGGATACTAGATGATGATTTTAATATTGCACCTTTAATCACGTGAAAAAAATTATAAATATTAACTCAATAAAACCTTTTTCTCCATATGAATCGATTGGATGAGACAAAAATCAGTAATACACTATTAAAACTTAAACAAGTTTTAATTTATAATAAAAACAAAATGAATAAATAATATAATAATAAATATTTAAATTAAAATTTTAATTTTTTTTTAAATATTCTCTTTTATTTTTTTTATTAAAACTATTTTAAAAAATTACTATTATTTATATATTTTACAGTACTTAAATAAGATTACAAATGACAATTTATTTTAAGAAAAAATAATTAAAAAAATAAAAACTATATTTAATAGAGATAAAATTATTTTTTTGGATGAATTTGAATTAATAACTTCGTCACTATTATTAAAATTTGTATTTCCTTGAATAAAGTTTGGACAACCATTATTAAAAATTGGTGCTTTTGTTTCTTGTATAACTTCATTTTTTAAATTTGAACAATCATATGTGGAAAATTGAGTTGCTGTATCATAAACTTTTCTAGACTCTACAAATGGTATTGTGATATATATAAATTCACCACTAATTGATTCTATTTTAACTTCGAAATTATTTCCTGTAATACTAGTTGGCCAATAATTATAAGTAGTTTGGGTTAATGGAATAAATTGATTTGAATTTGACATTCTAATAGAAACTTTTTTTATTAAAACTTTTGAATTAAAAATAAAAAATGATGTCCAATACTAAAAAAAAAAAAAAAAAATTTTAATTATTAAATATTTAATATAAAAAACCTAATTTTTAAAAAAATTTGTAAATACTTACTGGATTAGAACCATCTTTCATCATAATTTTTACATTTCCATTGATTTGGCAAGGAACTTTATAAAAAGTTAATCCCTCGAGAACACCTTCCGAGGTTTTCCCTAAAATTGCGAATGCTTCTGGACTTAAATCGAAATGACCATCTCTTTGACAATACCCTGCATCGTGGCAAGAGTCAGTGGCCATTACTACAACTGAAACATTTTGAGAATTAGAAATTTTAAAACATTGACCACATTGAGAACCATTTTGATACAACTTTGAACCCAATGCAGCTATCATTTTATTTCCCGGTCCGAGAGGTCCTGAAAGTCTTTCATAACCGCAGTTTCCATTATCTAATGTTGTATAAAATGTTGCTGAAGCACCTTTAATTGGGGTAATGGAAAAGGGACATTGAGCCTTATTAAAATTAAATAAATTGGTAAATATTAATAATAATATAATAAACTTCATTTTTATGAATGTTATTTTTTTTTTTTTAATAATAATTTATTTTATTAAAAAAGATAATTTTTTTTTTCTTTAAATAATTTTTTTAAAAAATTAAAATTAAAAAATAAAATAAAAAAAACAAATTAAAAAATTAAAAAATTTTTGAATAAAACTATTATAATAATACATTTGATCAAAGTGACTGAACCTAAATTATTTGATTATGTGTATTGAAAAGAATAAAAAATATTCAACACTAACCATAAATTGATATATAAATATTTTAAAAATAATTCAGTTATCTATAAAAAAACCCCTTTCACCTTTTCAAAAAAAAAAATTTAAAGCACACTCGCACATAAAAAAAAAAAAAACTAAATTTTAATATTATTAAAAAAAATTTTATTTCATTTTTGAAACTATTGTTATATCACACTATAAGTTAAAAAGATAGATAAAATTATTTTAAATTAGAAAAAATAAATATTATTTTTAATCTAATTAATGTAAATAAAAATAATGATAAGTTTAAAATCTAAAAAAATTAACCACAATGGAAGAAAAAAACTAATGGTGTATCGGTATTTATAATGTGGTATAAAATAAATTATAATAAAAACAATCGTTAATAAATATTAATTATAATATTTAAATCATAAAGAAAAATAAATTATCTTCACAAAAATGTGTCATGTTTTTTTTTACAGTGATATCAAATATAATTATATTTTATAAATATGTAATATTAATTAATATAATTGTTTATTATTTTATAATTTTTTTTGGTATTATATCGCCCACCATATTTTAAGTGATGGTTAATATACAAAAAATGTTTTAAATATACAATTTTATTTAAACAATGAAAATAATTAAAATTTAAATTAAATAAATTTTTAAATTTTAAAAAAAAATAAAAAGAAATTTCTCATTACTTTAAAATAACATAAAAATAAAAATATAAACTTTTTTTTTTTTAAACAAATTTTTTTTTCATACCGGTACTATTGATCACTAAAGATAAAAAAAAATTTATTTAAATTAAAAGATTCAATGACCAAAAAACTCCACAAAATTCTATATAGTATGTTTAATTTACTAAACTTGCTATAGATTTATATTATGATATTAACCATTTTTTTAATTAGATTGATTCTAGAAGTGTTTAAGATTATTTAAATGGGTTAAATGCCATCTAATAAATACTTGAGTTATTATGTATGACAATCAATATAAAGGGGAGGCCTGATTTTACCCTAATCTCGAAACATGTATTTTGACCTAATGGGAGAAAAAATATCATTAATTTTTTATAAAGAAAACTAAATATAAAAAGTAGAATAACAAAAGATAAAAATATTACGAGTAATTATATATTTTATAAACTAAAATGAACCTCTAAAGAGTATAGAGTGAAGCTAAACTATTTGTACTGATCATAAACCTTCGGTTATACTTAGTATTGTTCGAATTATTTAAATAGATATTATTTCGCAAAAGTTTTTACAAAATATTTACAAATGGAAGTTGAGGGGGTTATTTTAATAATTTAGGACCCGGGGAAGTCACAAGATAAAAAATTTATCAAAGTCGGGTTAGCTCAGTTGGTACGAGCGTAGGTCTCATAATCCTAAGGTCGTGAGTTCGATCCTCACACTCGACAGGTTTATTTAATAATTTTCTTCCCTGTGATTTCCCTTTCCTGTTTTTGCCTTTCTAATCACTGCTTGCGGAGTTCTACGCAGGTTTTTTCACACACGAATTGACACTACCGTACCCAAATTTATTTGTTTATCGACTTTTAAGAAGTTGTTGTAGTTTGATTGGATCATTCTTGCATATTCTAATGAGGCGAGTTTGATCCATTTGTGTTGGATGTCATTATAATTTAATGATTTAGCAATTGCATTTGGGTCAATCTCTTTGTTAAATAGTTGGTGCATACCCAGATCCAGACTTGGTGGAAGATAATTGAAAACATGTTTTTGTATTTCGGTGTTCTATCAAGATCGAAATCGAGATCTCTGTAGCACCAAATTGAATGCAGTTGTAATTGTAATGTATTCATATGCATTTTAGAAGTACATGGCTCCATTTGAAACGTAAGCTACCTCTGCAACTTCCTATTGAGCCCTTCTTTATTCTGACTGGCATACATCTCCGTCTTTTCATTTGATTTGTTACAACTGATTTCTATGTCAGTTCTGTGCACTAGTCTATTTCACCTAAAAGCACTTCTTATTTTGCATAGTTTTAGCCAATACGTGGCCCTTCTAACACCTGGTTAATACCTTAACTACAATTGATTGCTCACACAGGCAATATCCTTCAATTTAGCTTCTTATTAGCAATTAACCTCCTACTCTTAACGCTCCGTGAGTTTTCTTGATTTCATCCGAACCAAGCTTTTTCGACATGAGCACCCTTGATTCATCAAACTATACTTGCTTACTTTAGAACCCTCTGTAATACCTCAACATACTAGTTCCATTGCTATACCTTTATACATTGGACACCCTAGCTCCTTTTGAATATTAACTGATTCTACCTTCATAACTGCAATATATTTGACTTCCGAATCAGCTCGAACAATTGATATTAATTAATTAATAAAAAAAAAAATTTTACTATCACTATAACCACCATAGCTTTACTACTCTTACCGAATTAACGCAGACCCAAAGGTCTTTGTTAAGAACAGTAAGATCGTAAAAAAAAAAGTTTAATGTAGATGGAGATACTTTAGTTATAGATAAATAATTCTAATAATCAAATAAGTATACAATTATTTGTTTGTGAAAACCGAAAACTGAAAATTAAAATTATAATTTTTTTAATTTTTCAATTTTTTTATTTTTATTTTATTTTTTAATTTTAAACACTATACAAATTTGATTGATTTTTTACTTAATAATTCAGCAGTTTAAAATATTTAATGTTTTATTATTTATTATTATAATGTATTGAAATGCATTTGCTTTGAATATCTTGACTTTTAAAAAAAATTAAAAAATTGAAATTTATTTAAATATAAATCTATTTTTTTTATTAAATTATAATTTTGTTTTTTTTTTTTTTGTTGTTTTATTTTTTATAATATACTTTGTTTATTTAAATTCAACTAAAACCTCATCGACAGCAACAACTTGGCCTGGTTTAACAGTAATTGATTTAATTTCACAATCTCTTGGAGCACGGAGAACATTTTGCATTTTCATAGCTTCAACAATACATAATTCTTGACCAACAACAACCTTGTCACCTGGTTTAACAGCAAATGATAAAACGGTGCCTGGCATTGGTGATAAGAGTGAGTTAGAATTATCAACAGATTTCTTAACTGGCATGTATTTTGAAAGCGAATCTTCTTCTGGTGATAAGACAGTTACTGGAATCTTAGTACCGTGGTATCTATAGATAAAAAAAAAATTAATATTCATTATCATTATTGTTATTATAAATTATTTTATTATAAATTTTAAATGATACTTACTGAATAGTGAATGAAGTGATACCTTTTTTATGAATTTGGAAACGGTGAATAGAACTACCAATTTTTAATTTCATGAATTGTGGGGTAGAGTCAACAAGTTCAACTGTAACATCAGAGTCTTTAATGGCGTCGCCTTCTTCGTTGAGGAATTGGGCAAAGAATTTATTATTTGAACCATCTTCTGATGGAACAAATTGAAGTGGGCTGCTGACATTACCAACTTTAGCAATGTAAACAATATCTGGACTAACTGATGAAGTACGGTTAGAATTTGAAGAGTTGGTAAGGCTCTTGTGTTGTTCGATGAAACGTAATAAAACACCAGCGATTGAAAGTGATTGAATTTGTTTTGGTGTAAAGTTATAACCTTTGAAACCCTCTGGGTACTCTTGTGGGATGAATGAAGTATTGATATCACCTTCCATAAAATCTTTATTTTCCATAACGTCACGGAGGAATGGAACGTTGTGGTTAACACCTTCGATAAAGTATTCATCGAGAGCTCTCTTCATTCTAGTGATAGCGGTCTTTCTGTCTTCACCATAGGTAATAAGTTTACTGATGAGTGGATCGTAATAAGTTGAAATTTCAGCACCTTCAAAGATACCACCATCGATACGAACACCAGTTCCGCTTGGACGAATATATTTCTTAATTCTGCCAATTGATGGAAGGAAATTACGATATGGATCTTCGGCATAAACACGAGATTCCATAGCCCAACCGTGAATCTTGAGATCTTCTTGTTTAATCTTTAATTTTTCACCATAAGCAACACGAATCATATGTTCGACAAGATCTTGTTTAGTGATTTCTTCAGTAATTGGATGTTCTACTTGAAGACGAGTGTTCATTTCTAAAAAGTAATGATTACGTTCGCTATCAACAAGGAACTCTACAGTACCAGCTGATTTATAACCGACTTTATTTGCTAAAGCAGCAGCTTCTTTACCCATACGTTCACGAACTTCTGGTGTAATGAATGATGATGGAGCTTCCTCAATAACTTTTTGATTACGACGTTGAATTGAACATTCTCTTTCTGGGAAATAAAGGGCATTATCACCATCTGATAAAATTTGAATTTCAATGTGTCTACCGTGTTCGATATATTTTTCAATAAGCATTCTATCATCACCAAATGATGATTTGGCTTCTTGTTTTGAAAGTCTGAAACCAATTTTAACATCTTCATCGTTTCTACAAATTCTCATACCTTTACCACCACCACCAGCTGAAGCTTTAACCATAACTGGATAACCAATATCATTTGCAATCTTGATAACATGATCGATACCATCGACTTCACCAATAAAACCTGGAACAACACTTACACCAGCTTCTTTAGCAATTCTTTTTGATTCAATTTTATCACCAAGAGCATGCATAGCATATGAACCTGGACCAATAAAAGTGACACCAATCTTTTCTAATTCTTTAACAAATTTGGCGTTTTCTGAAAGGAAACCATAACCTGGATGAACAGCTTGAGCACCTGTCATTTTAATTGCTTCAATAATAGCTTCGATATTAAGATATGATTCTGAAGTTGGAGCTGGACCTACACAAATAGCTTCATCAGCTAATTGAACGTGCTTAGCATTTTTATCAACATCTGAATGAATAGCAACAGTTTTAATACCTATAATTTTCCAATTTTAAAAAAATAATATAAAAAAATAAAAAATTGAATTAACAAAATTGTTCTTGATTAATTTGATATTATTATTTTTCCATTTATTATAATCTATATTAAATATTTTACCCATTTTTTGACAAGTTTCCATAACTCTGCATGCAATTTCACCTCTATTTGCAATTAAAATTTTTTCAAACATCTATTTTATATCATTTTTGATTTGAGCAAATATTTAAAAAAGTGTAAGTATTATTTATTTATCTATAAAATAAAGAAAGAGAAAAAAAAAAAAATAAAAAAAAATAAAAAAAAAAAAAGATTGTTTTATACTAAAAAAAAAAACAATTTATAAAAATTAACCATTTAAATAGAAATACATACAAAGTTTGGTGAGGTAGAGTGGAAGCTTCTTGAGTTTGACCATCCTACTTGTTTTTTAATAACAGATTGAATATTGAATAATCTGTTCATTTTTAATATTATTATATTTAATGATGATTAATAAAAAAATATTAAAAAAAAAAAAAAAAAGAAATTTAAAAAAATTTAAAAAAAAAAAAAAAAAATTTTGAAAGCATGAAAATTTTAAAATTTTATATTAAAAAATTTCAAAAAAATTATTTTTTTTTTACAAGAAGTTCAATCACACAACATAAATAATCATGTTTAATAAATATAAAAAAATAATAACTAAAAAAACATATGAAAATAAAAATAAATTTTATTTTATAGAGTTAAAATAATACCAAACTATTTGGTAATATAAAAAAAATTTTAATCATTATTTAAAAAAAAAAAAAAAAAAAACACTATATTCTTTAAATATAGAATTTAAATAAATAATAAGAATATTTTGTAATAATGATTATTTTATAATACTAAAATAATTTTTTAAAATGATCAGAAATTTGAAATTAGTGGTGTGTAAAATTTATTTTAAAATTGTTCGATCAAATTTTACTTTTTTTTTTATTTTTACATTTAATTTTCAATTTTTTTTTTTTGATATATAAATAAATATTAAAATATTGGTTTTCTTTTTTTTTTCTCTTCTTTTTGTTTTTTTATTTTTTTTTTTATTTATATTTCTATTTATCACTTATTTATTTAATATTTTGTCCTCGTTGCAAAAAAAAAAAAATAAAAAAAAAAATAAAAAAATTATTTTTTAAAAATAAAATATTTATTTAAATTTTTTTATTTTTTTTTTTTTTAAATTTTTATTTTTCTCATTTATAAACAAAAAAAATCTCATAATATATAAATATATAATATAATATAAAATAATGATTAAATCAATTTTAATTATTAATAATCATGGTAAACCAAGATTAATTAAAGTATATGAACATTTGGTAAGTTTTCATTAATAAAGCATATCAAAATATCATTTGTTTGTTTTAAAATGTATGTATGTTTTGATAACAAATTTGCTAATATAATATTTAATTATGCTTTTAGAGTGAAGATAAACAGCAACAATTAATAAGGGAATTGTTTTTATTAGTTTCAAAGAGATCAGATAGTTCATGCAATTTTTTAGAAGTTGGTAATGGTTCAAATGTTTTTGATAAAGATACAAAGGTTATTTATCGTCATTATGCAACCTTATTCTTTGTATTTGTAGTTGATTCATCAGAATCAGAGTTATCAATAATAGATTTAATTCAAACTTTTGTAGAAGCATTAGACAAGAGTAATATTTATAGTGCATTATATTATATTAAATATATTTTTTAAAATACTAACTTTTTTTATTTTTTATTTATTATTATTCATTCATTATTGTTCATTATTATTGTTCATTATTATTATTATTATTATTCATTCATCATTATTATTATTATTATTATTTAGGTTTTGAAAATGTTTGTGAATTAGATTTAATTTTCCATATTGATAAAGTACATTATATTTTAGATGAAATGGTTATGGGTGGTTTAGTATTAGAAACAAATCCAATTATCATACATTCAAATTTCGAAGTTCAAAATAAATTAGAAAAAGCAGAAAATCCTTTATTATCAGGTTTTCAAGGTGTATTATCAACAATTAAAAATAAATAAAATATAACAATCAATAAAAATATAAATATAAATAAAAATAAAAATAAAAATTTAAAAAAGAAATATAAAAATAGAGGTTTTAAAAAAATATTTGGGCTAGTTTTGAAATTATAACAGGTTTTTTTTTCCAAAACGAAAAAGAAAAGGAAAAATAAGAATAAATATAAATAGAATTAAAAAAATTTTGGATTCTTTTTTTTTTGTATTATATGAATGCAAAAATATTTATATTAATATTTTTACTCCTTTATTTTTTTTTTTTTTCTTTACTAGCGTAAATAGAGAAAACAAAAAAAAAAAAAAGCTTTATTTATTTATATATTATAAATTTATTGTTACTTTATATACATTTGATAATTATTACTATTATTATTATATTTATAAGTTTTCTTCTAAAATATCTTCTCTTTCATTCATTAGGCTTTCTTCTTCATCCAAAATACCTTTTGATTCTTCACCTTCTAATTTCTTATTTACAGCTCTTTTAACGATAATTGTAATGAAAAGGATACTAACTACCATGAGTACAGCAGATACCACATACATTGCAATTTGACCACCACGAAGATGGCTACCTTCATTACCGATTTCAGAGATACTTGTCAAAGCACTGCCAATATAAACAAAGAATGAGCAACCTGGTAATAAGCCTATACCACTACAAATTATATAGTGAATAAATTTAACACGAGTAACAGAGAGAGCATAATTTAATAATGATTCTGGTACAATAGGTGTTAAACGTAAAAGTAATACAATCTTCCAACCCTCTTGACCAATCGCCTGATCGATTGCGTTCAACTTCTTGTTTTTTTCAATCTTTTTAGCAATATTTTTTCTAAATACATATCTACCAAGGAAAAATGCTAAAATACCACCAAGCATAGATGCTACCCAGACAAATAAAATACCAAACCATAATTTAAAAATCATACCACCAACTAAAATTAATAAAATAAAATAAAATTAATATTTATAATATTATTATCGATTTATTAATAAATCTCAAACTTACCGATTGTTGGAATTGTTACTGGTACTAAAAATACAATTAATAACATAAAGGCACCAACATAAACTAAACCACCCAAAGGTACACCAAATTTCTGAACAAATTTTTGTAAAACGTCGAGATGATTTTGAACTTTAAATTTGAAAATTGCTAAAAATACACCAGTTATAATACAAGCTACGAAAAATAGTTTTAACCAAGTTAATGGGGTACTGGTTTTAATGTTGTGAATTAAAAAAATAAAAAAGTATCGTATTCTTTCTTTTAAGGTGACCTTTTCAACAAATGAGGATGATGAGTTTGCCAATAATGAGCCCTTATCGTTATAGTGGTGATCATTTATCTCTGAAAAGAATGCATCGTGTGGTTCGACTGATTTATTATTTATATTTATTTTAGTTGGTGAGCTGGATCTAATTTCTTGTAGTTTAATATTGCTTTGATGATTACTTCCGTTTGCACCATTAAAGTTTCCAAATTCGTCTTCTTCATTTATATTTATATTATTATCGGTGTTGTTATCATGTAAACGTGTGAAAGATTTTTTTATATTATCTATTATACTGTTACTTTCATTATCTTTACTTGTTTGATCAATATCTTTAAAAAATTTACTGTTAAATGGTGTTATTGTTGGTGGTGATAAGTTATTGTTGCTTGTGCTATAAAGTTTAAAATCATTATTATTATTATTATTTATATTATCTACATTGGGTTTTTCTTTATTATTGGTGGTTATATCAATTGGGTTTGATAAATGATTATCATTGATTAAATTTTCATTATCAATTTCATTATCTAAAATTGATTTCGAAAAATTTGTCATTATATTATTTATTATTTATTGTACTTTTATTTAAGATTATATATTTGATGTTAATTTTTTTTTTTTATGCGAGAAAAATTCTTTGATAAAAATTTTTACTTGATATTTTCTATTTTCCTAATTTTTTTAAGTTTTTTTTAAAAGTTATTTTTTATTTTTATAAAATTATTGTGATATTAAATAAGATTATTATAAAAAAACGATAAAAAAAAAAGTTTTGAAAAAAAATATAAAATTATTTTATGGTTTATTTATATCTATTATTATTGTTTATTATTATTTAAATAAATAAAAAATAAAAAAAAAAACTTTAATTAATATATTGTATTTTATAAAAAGTGCATGTATATAAATTGACTATTTTATTTATTAAAGATGAAAATTATTTCTGATAGTATAAATATTTTTTATAAATCCAAAAATAAAATAAAAATGAAATAAAATAGAAAAAAGAAAATAAATAAAATCTTTTAAATATTTTAGATTTGGTTTTTAAAATAATATTATATATATATATATATAAATAAATAAAAAAAAGAATATATTACAATTTATATATAATGTTGTTTGTATATCTTAATTACAATAAACTATTTATATATATTAATAAA